AAAAGAATGAAGATTTTGGTGGTTTTTTTGTTTTGATATAGTCGGAAATTATAAAATTCCTTTTCTGTTTTTTTTTTTTTTTTGTAAATAAACTTTGTTATTAAAATATATAAAAAAACGATTAACATTTATAAACAAGCAAAAAATATTTTCATTTTTTTTTATTTTGACACAGAATATTTCTGTCGGATATTGATAATGATGATGATGATCATATAACAGAAAGGAAATTTATTCGAACGTTTGAAAGTGAGCAAAAAAAAAAAAAAAAAGATTCGATTATTTTCTGGTTTTTCTATTGAGCAACAACAACAACAACAAATTCAGGATATTGAATGATATCCCCCACGCTCCCTCCCCCCTATCAAAAAATTTATTGGTTTATCATCATCATCATCATGAATTTATCCAGGAAAATTTATCGATTCTTCGATATGGATAAATTATATTGATCATCATCATCATTCGAATAAAGATTAATAGTTTGTTTACCATACCGAATATTTCATCACCATAACCATCATCGTTGATCAATATTTATCCAGAAAAGCAAAAAAAGCAAAGAAAAATTTAATTATTTTTCATCATCATACCACCATACCACCACCGCCAAAGATCAATTGAAAAATTTATTATCATCATCATCATTTGCTGCTTGTAAAATATCATCCAAGGACATTTTTGGTTGGAGGGGGTATGTGCTATTAGATTCTATCGATTCGAATTGATTCACCCTCCCCCCCAAACAGAAAAATCGAATTATATCTCATCCACCCACCCAATAAACGCATACGCATATCATCATATATAGCAGTGTTTCTTGGTTTGGATCAAGAACTAATCTGATCTGATCATCATTTCAATTCGATCATGAAAAAAATAAGTAATATTTCATAACAAATTTACAATATGTTCTGTGTGTGTGTGTGTGTGTTTGGTTGATTGAAAATGATGTGAAAAGAAAAATACCATAAATGTTTGAATCTTCTTCTGTTTATTATCATCATCATCATCATTATGATTAAAATTTGAAACATTTCCTCCCCCCGTGTGTTTCGATTACATCATCATCATCAGTGTACCATTCATTCATCATCATCATCAATTTATTATTATCAATGTCGATGATCAATAAATATTTTTTTTATCGATTAATTGGTGATAAAATTATCATGATGATCATGATCATAATGATGATAATGATGATGATGATGTGGACAACAATTGTATCGTCGACAAAATTGATTAATAATCAACAACAACAACAGCAACAACCAGTTTATAATGTTCTAGTATTAATGGTTGAAAAAAGTCAAACAAATCGTTTTGATTTGGTACATATTGGACCGGCAATCGACATTGCACAGAAAGTTTGTTCGTTAAAATCCATTAAATTATAGAAAAAAAAATGAAAAATCAATTTCGTTCAAACTGAATGTTTTTTTTTTCCATTTTCTTTTTTCTTTAAACAACTTAGAAATGTCAATCAAAATATAAAATCTATCTAAATCTTACCAAAGGTTCGATTTTTGATTTTGTTCGGTTTTTGAAAAACACTTACCGTTTTTTTCTGTTTTTCCTTCTTCCACCTTATCACAGAAACCTATCCAAATCAATGTAATGAAACGGCTGCACTGGGAAAAGCATATGACATTATAACCAGACAGAAAATTGTTGCATTAATTGGTCCAGCATGTAGTGATGATGTTCAGGTTGTTGGTCGTTTAGCTGCACATTTAGGTATACCATTATTAACCGGCTTGGGTGATGTTATCAATGATGACCGTTCAGCATATAATACATTAATCCGAACATCATATGATTTACGTGATAAAGCACGTGCCATCTTGGCATTTATGGCACATCATAATTGGTATCATTTTGGTCTGATTTACCGTTATCAAGATATTTATTATTCAACATTAGCTGAAGAACTGTTGCAACGTAATCATAATGAATATAAAAATTTTCGCTGTACATGTAAAGAATCATATAATCGTGATCATAATAAAACAATATTAACAAATTTACGTTTAATTATGGATCGTATGCGTTCTTGTGCACGAAGTATGTATTTTTTTTTAATATTGAAATTTTTTCTTTAAAATTTTAAATTTTTTAAATTGAAATTTAGTCATTGTTATAATTGGTGGTGAAAAAGAAGTACGTAATATGATGTTGATTGCATATTCAATGAATATGACAAATGGTGATTATGCATTCATTTATACGGAATTGATTGAAAAAGAAGCTATCGGTAATACATCATGGGCCGGTGGTAATGGTAAGTTTTTTGTGAGTTTTTTCTAATGAAATTTTTTAATGAAATTTTTTTCCCAAACTGAAAAGAATCGAAAGAAATCAAAGAAAAACTTAAATATGCATATCAATCACTGTTAATATTAAGTCTTAATCAACCACCCGGTGAACATTATAAAAATTTTAGTGATCAAGTTAAATATTTATCATTAAAAGAATATAATTATAAATATAATGAACAAATGGTTAATTATTTTACAGCATCATTTCATGATTCAGTTTTATTATTATGTAAATCATTACGTGAAAATCAACCAAAATTTTTTCATTATCATTCAACAAAAACATCTATTAAAGATATACGTAAAATGATATTGAAATCAATGAAAAATGTTACATTTTCCGGTATTTCGGGTAATGTTACTATTGATTTGGATGGTGATCGTATTGCTGATTATGCATTATTGGATCAAACCGATCCGGAAACTGGATTATTTGAAGTTGCATTAAGATATTATGGTGCAACACAAACATATGAAACAATTAAACAAATTCATTGGCCAAATGGTCTTGTACCGAAAGATATTCCTAAATGTGGTTTTGATGGTGCTATTTGTAAACGTTTGTTATTTTCAAATGAAAATTAGCCTTGAAAAATTAATAATTTTTTAAACAAATCATCCCTATATACAGGAATAACATTTCTTGGCATAACAATCGTTACAATTGTTACGGTTTTATTTCTATCAATTTTACTTGTTGTATTCATTTTGAGGTAAAAAATCTTTTTGTTGATTTTTTTGATTTTGATTGTTTTTTTTTCTTCCTTAAAAAGAAAAATTAAATATAAATTTGCATTGGCCAATATGTCATGGAAAATACGTTGGGATGAAATTGAACAAATAAATTTGGAACGTTCAAATTATGATTTTGATCATAAAGAAGATATTGGTGAATCAGATTCGATTAAAATCGTAATGGATTCGGTTGTCACTGGAATGTATAAGGTTTGTGTGGAGAAAAAACTAAGAAGAACAAATTTTTTTGAACAAGTTTTTCAAAATTAGGGAAATCAAGTTGTCATCAAAAAATTACGTACAACAAAATTTGATTTATCCAAAGAAATGTTGATTGAAGTGAAAATTGTAAGTTTTACTTTTGATTTGATTTTGATTCTCCCAATCGATTGATTTACTGATTTTCTCCGATTTTTTTTATTAGATGCGTGAAATATCACATGATAATTTAACAAGATTTTTTGGTATATGTACAGAAAATTGTCTGGCAATAGTTACGGAATATTGTTCAAAAGGTTCATTACGTGGATTATTAGCCAATTCATCATTGAATTTAGATTGGATATTTCGTTGTTCAATTATTAATGATATTATTTCTGGTATGACACATCTACATAATTCTGAACATTGTTATCATGGCCGATTACATTCGAATAATTGTCTTATTGATTCACGTTTTTGTGTAAAAATATCGGATTTTGGCCTACGACAATTAAAAAATGATAATGATTTAGGATTGATTTATTCATGTCAATCAATTGATAATTTAACGGATAATTTACATTTAAAATTATCAAGAAAATGTCAACAGAATTGTTTAAAAGAAGAACATAATGAAAATCTATTGTATTATGCACCAGAATTTTTTCAACCATGTAAATGTAAAAAAAATCATCTTGATTCATATTGTTTACAAACCAATTCCGGTAGTCAAAAAGGTGATTCATATAGTTTTGGTATTATTCTGCAGGAAATCATTCTGAGAAAAGAACCATTTTATCCACATCAAAAACATATGCATCTTTCAGGTAAGAGATGAATTTATTTCATTTGGGGAACTTTTAAAATCAATTCTATTCTTCTTCTCCCCCGATACAGAAATCATTAAACGATCTAAATTTGAAAATTTACGTCCATCGGTACCGATCGATGCATGTGTACCGGAATTATATTCATTAATGGTTAGTTGTTGGACAACGAATCCCGAAGATCGGCCAGATTTTTATCAAATAAAATGTGAAATGAAAAATCTAATGAAAACATTAAATATCAATAATAATTTATCAATCAATTCAACATTGACGGAAAATCTGTTAATACGTATGGAACAATATGCAATCGATTTGGAAATGATTGTCCGACAACGAACTAATCAATTGGCCGAAGAGAAAAAGAAAACCGAAGAACTTTTATATCAAATTTTGCCAAAGTTTGTCAAATTTTTCAAATTCAAATCATTTTGTTAATTTTGAAAAAAATTTCTAACCCTTTGTGTAGACCTGTTGCCGATCAACTAAAACGTGGCAAAATGTTTGAACCAAATTTTTTCGATTCAGTAACAATATTTTTCAGTGATATTGTTGGTTTTACACATCTTAGTTCGAATTCAACACCGATGCAAGTTGTTGATTTTCTAAATGATCTTTATACATTTTTCGATTCAATCATATCCGATTATGATGTTTATAAAGTTGAAACAATTGGTGATTCTTATATGGTTGTATCAGGTCTGCCAGAAAAGAATGGTATCGAACATGCACGACAAATTTGTCGTATGGCATTAAAAATCCTTGAAATGATGCCAAGTTTTGTTATTAAACATCGACCGGAAGAAAAATTAAAACTTCGTATCGGTATTAATACTGGTAGTTGTTGTGCTGGTTGTGTTGGTTAGTTAGTTTTTTTGTTTTGTTTTATATGATTTCCATTTTATTAATTTCTTATTTTTTCAATTGAAAAACAAGGAAATATTCGACCAAGATTTTGTCTATTTGGTGATGCTGTCAATACGGCATCACGTATGGAAAGTAATGGTGAACGTAAGTAATTTTTGATCTTTCATTTTCCATATAACAAAGTTTAATTTGTTCCATTTTCTCTTTGTTTTTGGAAAAAAAACATCAGCCCTAAAAATTCATGTTAGTTCATCAACCAAATCAGTGTTGGAATTATTTGGTACATTTATATTGGAACCACGTGGTGAAATATTTATCAAAGGAAAAGGAAAAATGTTGACCTATTGGCTGTTGGGTGAAAAATGAATGAAATTTTTTTTTTTTTGAATTTTTTGAAACTGATTTTTCATTAATTTTTTTTTTGCTTTTTATTTATTTAAAAAATAAAAAATAAAAATTTATCATTTAAATAACAACAACAGCAGCGTAAAAATCGAATCGTTACGAATCATCATTCCAGATATTTTTTGATTCTCGTAATGTTTTTTCTTTTTTTTCTGTGAAAAGAAAGTTGGAAAAAAGTTTAATTTTAGTCATAATTTCAGTTACAAATATTACCTTTAGCTAAACGTAATTTTTCACGTTCAGCTTCTCGTTGTTTTGGATCAATTATTTGATTTGATTTTAAACCTAGCGCACCAATTACTAAACGTTTGGCAGTTATGGCTGATGTTTCGGGTCGTAATTTCCGTGTTACATCGCTATCTGATTGATTTTTTGATTGCGATTAATTGATTGAATGAGATGTAAAGAAACGTGCAAAACAAACCTTTAATTTTTTTAGCTTTTTGTTTTGATTCATTAGTTGCCTGGCCAATTGGACGAACTTTCATAATTGGAAACATTCGATTCATTGCTTCGGTTGCTTGTATATTTGATTGAAATGTAACCAATGCATGTGTATCATCGACCCAATCGATTTCGAAATTTTTAAAATTACTAAAAAAATTAAGATTAAAAAAAACATTTAGAAAACATCATTTTGGATTCAAAAAATTTTACTTGAACGATAAACAAGCGGTTATATCTTTTGTTTTGAGATCCGGTGATATATCATAGATTTCTAGAATGTGTGAGCAATCTGTTGCCGATGATGATATCGATGATGGTGGTGGTTGTGCGGGAGAATTATCCAAATTTTTATCAATAAATTTAGAATAATTTGCCGTAGATTTTTGTACATTTTCCAATCGAATATTGATTGTTTCAAATTGTGTATTTAAATCATTAATTATATCACCATTATCATCATATAAATTATCCCAAGATAAATCATCATTATCATCATTATCTTCTTGTTGCATTTTACGATTATGATTGGAAAATTCAACGGGATTGAAAATTTTTTTTCGACTTTTTGGCGGTTGATAAAGTTGCTTATCTGGATGTCGAGGTTTTTTTCGATTTTCTCTTAATTTTTCAGGTAAATTTGTTATGATTAAAAGTGAATCATTTTGATTTTTTTGATTTTCAAAAAATGATTTCAAATAAATTATTGGTCGTCTTTTTTTATCCGAACCAATCGATAATGTGGATAATTTATCACCGAAAATTTGTGGTACAACTTCATGAATTAGAAAACGAAATTTTGGTGGTAAAGGAGGCAAGATAAAAATAAATTTTTGGCTTTATCAAAAATCAAAATCCAAAATCAATGAAAATGAAAAATAGAAAAAATAGAGAACATTTTTTTTTCTTTTCAAAATGTATAGATTCATTTAAAACAAAAACAAAAAAAAACCTACCTTTTTGGATAAGATTGAGCAAAAAATGACTCAATATCCTTGGTTAATAATTGAATAAAATCATCATCAAATTGGCTTGGTGACCAAGAACGAATTCTTATTCGATCCAGATTTATTTTGATTTAAATTTCAATTGTTTCAATTGTGATTAGAAATGTAGATGGAGGTAATCGGAAGGGAATTTTTGTTGTGTACCATTTAGAAAAATAAAACTTTTTTTAAAAAACGAAAATCGAAAAAGATGTTTTTTTGGATTTACATTAAAAAAAATTCCTATTGCGACATGATTGAGTCGATTTAGGTCGATTTGGTCATTTTATAGTGATTTTTTTTTGTTCGATTTTTTAACCGGCTTTTGAAATTGAAAATTTATTTTTTCAAAAAAAAAAATCCTGATTTTGAAAATAAATCCCCGAGAAAAATGTATGATACTGAATCAAAACCATCCAAAGTTCGTATTGAAACAAGGTAATTTTTTACTTTCTTTTATTCATTGAAAATTCATTGACTGGGTTATGTTTTTTTATTCTTCTTTTAGTCTTGGTACTTTTGATGTTGAACTATATTGGAACGAGGCACCGAAAACATGTAGAAATTTTGCCGAATTAAGTCGTCGTGGTTATTATGATGGAACGAAATTTCATCGTATCATTCCGGATTTTATTGTACAAGGTGGTGATCCAACAGCAACTGGACGTGGTGGTGAAAGTATTTATGGTTCAACATTTGAAGATGAAATTGTTCCATCGCTAAAACATACTGGTGCTGGAATACTGAGTATGGCTAATGCTGGACCAAACACGAATGGTAGTCAATTTTTTATTACATTAGCACCGGCACAACATCTGGATGGTAAACATACTATTTTTGGTCGTGTTTACAATAATCTTGATATTGTACAAAAATTGGGTCGTATTCCAACCGATAAAAATGATCGTCCAACACAAAATGTACAGATTAAAAAAGCCAATATAATCAACGATGATTGATTTGATTCGATTTTTTGTTTGTTTTATTTCTATTTTCAATCATCATAACCAAAACATCAAACACACACACGCACACACACTTCATTTCTTATCATTATCATCATCATCATCATCAACTTTGAATTGTTGTATAAGATCAAAATCTTACCCAAAAATAAATTTTTGGATCTGTTTTTCTTGTCATCCAAGACACCAAAATTGTACTTCAAATTGTCTTTGATTTGATAAGATTAATTTTTTTTTATCAAATGAGTTTAGCTGGTGGGTTTTGGTTGTCGTTGTTGTTGTTGTTTATGTTTGCATCGTAAAAGAAAGAAAATCAAAGAATGAAAAAAACATTTCAACAACAACCAACACGTGGTAATACCATGCTTTGTAATTATTCAAATGATGATCATCTTGATGATGATGATGATGATGAAGATTTCAATGGCCAACAACCAACAACAACATCGATCAATCGATTATATTATTCATTATCATTATTGTATAATAGCCAACAACAACAACAAGAATTTCAATCCGAAAATGTACGTTTTTTTGTTTTCCCATTAATTTTCTAAATTTTTCTAAAAAATTCTGGTTTTATTTTCTTGTCCTTGATAATGAACTCACCCCGATTTTTTTTAAAGTTTCAACCAAACCAAAAAAAAAGTTTATTCGATTTTCATAGTTTTCTGTTATCGTTTTTCTGTTTTTTTGTTTTTGTTTCTTTCTGCATCACAAATCAAAAAAAACGAAAGTTTTATCATCACATTGATTCGAATTGCATTTGAAGTTTGATGATGATGATTTTTAATTTCTTTTTGATTTTGATTTTGTTTTGGTTATGGTTATAGAAAAAAAATCTATCTTGTTCCGATAATCAACAATTTCAGAACGATATTTGTGTATGATATGTCTTTGTCGATATGATTTGTGCGACAATTTCGAATGTTTTTTTTTCGGGCTGCGGTTTAATCATCATCCAATCGATTGATTGATTAAATTTCTCTTTTTTTTCTATTCAAATGATAATCGATGACCAAAAAAACAAAAAATCGATGATAATGATAAACTTGATACCAAGAAAAAATATTAGTATCAGAAAGAGAGAGAGAGAGAGAAAGAAAAATCTTTCTTAGAAAAAAATAATAATAATTCTAAATCTCCATATGAAAAATTGCTATTCTAAATTTCAGTATTTTTTTTTTGTCATCATCATTTTTTTCTTGTTGTACATTTGTCATTCATTCATTCACAACAAAAGAAACAGAATTTTGGTTTTTTGTTGTTGTTGGTTGTTGATTGAAAAAAAAAATGAATTTCCAATTGAAACCAAAAATTTAGCCCGGTTCTAACTAAATCAATTTTTTTTGCTCATTTTCTGTGTTCTGGAAATCTTTTGCTGTTCGAATTTCTTCTTCTTCATTTTTTATCATCTGGCTATTTTCATTCAACCATATTATCCGAAACCTGATGATATTTATTGTACCCGATCTTATCTTGATAAATCATAAGGGTGATATGGTACGGTTGATTGATGGTTGATTGAAAAATTTACCCCGATGTTAATTCAATTTGATTAATTTCATTTTTTCTGATTTCATTTATAGATGAAAAAGATATTCGGCTATAATACCTGGCAATGGCTTTATTTTTTAATTGCATCAACACAATTAATAATAATATTTATACTTACATTATTCAATCTGAAACAATTGATCGATAGTAATGAATTAATGTCATCATCATTTGTTGTTAATGCAACCATTCTAATCATATGTGGTAATTATTATTCATGATTGAAGATTTTCAACTTAAAATTTCAACTAATTAACGTCGTTTTCATTCTTTTCAACCCATAAAGTAATTTCAATTTCATTTTTAGCATGTGGTATTTTTGGTTTCAAACAAAATGAAATTTGTCTATTTCTTTTGGCAATGTCATTATGTTGTTTTTATATTGCAATTGAATTTGCCTTTACTGTTCAATATGATTCTACACTTAAATTGGTTCGTTTTGTTAGATTTTTAACAAAATTTTCAAAAAAAAAATTATTGTTTTTCCCTTATTGATTAATAGGCTCGTCTTTGTATAGCATTATCATTAACATCGATATTATTAATATCATCAAAAACTGTTGCAATTTATTCGGAAGAATATTCAATAATTGGTGTATCACCAACATTACTTTCGATGTATAAATTGCAATGTTTTTTTCTTGTTTTATTAAAATTTGATTTTCTTTGTGCGGTAAGTTTTTATTATTTTCAAATATTTTCAAACTTTACCTTTTACTCATCTTCGTGCATTTTTTATCAGGTTTCATTTGCATTGTTCAATATTGGTGTACCACGTGATGAACCTAGCTGGCAATTTATTGCCATGTCTATTTTTATATTAATTTCAACTATTCATTGGATTATTGGCCGTTATGCTGTATGGTTTTGAAGAAAATCTTTAATTTTTTTTCAAATAATTCTTATTATCATTTCCCCCTTATAGGTAATCAAAGAAATTCAATCCTGTTTACTTTTGTTTATAACAATTTCAACATTATCATTATTATGGATTCCATTACAGGTAAATTTTGTTTATTTTTTTTTCTTTTGTCAGGTTTTTTTCAAACCTGGATTCTATTCACCACAATGACGATAATCCAATAATGAAAAAATACAGATTTTTTTTTAATTTGATTTTCATGATGTGACAATGAACAAACTTTTTTTCCCTTCTCGCAAAACACACTCATCACTTGAAGACAAAAACCTTCGCTAAAACATTAATATAATTTTTATTTTAGTTTTACATAATGATGGCTATTAAACCTTGACTAAAAAAAGTTAAAAGAAAAATGCATTTGTTAATTATCATTCAAAAAACATTGATCAATGATGTTTATTTTTTATACAAGAAAGCTAGGGAAATATTCAAAGATTCAAACAAACAAAATACTTCAAACAACAACAATCAACGATGAAAACTTGATTAAACAAATCACCAATCATCGTTATCTAATAACAAAAAAAAATGTTGATGTAATTCAAGTAAAGTTCATTGATCAATCTCATCAATCAAACAAAGAACAAACAAACAAAAATATTTTACCTTCATCATTCTTATATAACATATTTTTTTCAGGAAAAAAAAGAAAATGCAAAAATTAAAAATTAAGACATTGATAATGATTAGATGATAATTTCATTCAATATTTTACAAATTAGCTTCGAGATTTGATCAAGGTCTCTATGTTTATCGAAGGTTAATTTTTTTTTCATTATTCAAAGGAAAAAAACATGTCATAACATTATTTTTCATTATATAATGCGAAATTTATTTTACAAAGTTTTTACAAATTTTTAATTTTTATTTTTTCAACATTTTTATCTTTTAAAAATAGCTAGTTACATTGGAAACTTGTTTCCGTTTTGATCATTGTTCCAATTCAATATTATTATTATCATATGGTTCATTAGTATCGGCATTTATATTGATTATTGTTCGTATATGGATGTTTATGCAATTATTAAAAGTTTATAAAAATTTTGGTTATGGATTAGCTGATTCAGGTAAATAAAATTTTCTTTTTCATTTAAAATTTCATGTTTTTTAAACTTGTTTCAAAACGAAATTTACATTTTCCTTAGCCCTTTCGTTCCTTATTTTTTTTCTTTCTTTCTTCAAACAATCAATTTTTTAACATTGATTGATTTGATTTGAATTTTGTTTTGTTATTATGTTTTGTTTGTTGTTCATCACACTTATTTACATTTCTCTCTTTTTTGTTTTCTCCCTTTTAAAAATTCCAACAGCATTTATTGGCCTCGTATCCGAAACGACAAGATTATTGATGCGATCTTCGACCTATAGGCAATCAATCGATTGTTTGTAGAACGATGAAGAAGAAGAAGAAAAATTCTATAGAAGTGTAAATTCAATCCTTTTTTTCAATCGTTGTTTTTATTGATGATTGATTGGATTCGGCTTGTGGATATATATCATATGATCTACTTAATCTTTTTTTTCTGTTGTTGTTTTTGTTTGACAAAGACGAATGTTTTGTTTTGGTGTGTGAAAAATCTACAATCGATTTAATCGAAAAAATCATCAAAAACAACAAAACAACAACAACAATAATAATAATCAAAACGACAGGATGTTTGCTGACAAATTTTTTTTTTAAATCGTTGTATTTAGGAATTTTGATGAATTTTATGAATTTTTCGTTGATTAATTTAATTAATTAAAATTTTAATTTGAAAAATTTGTAAATTTTTTTTTTGTAATTTTGATTTTGATCGATACGACATGTGTGTATAGCAAGGTTACTCATTTATACAAAGTTAAATTCACAAATACAATGACAATGGATTCGAACATTCGAAAATCGTTCACGATTCCATGATAATCATGAGATTTTTTGTTTCTGTTTCTACTGTTGTTGATTATCATCATCGTTTGTCCATGAATTTGTTTTCATGGACAATTTTTTTTCCTTACTTTGGCCGGAAGATTAAATTAAAATTTTCATTTTTACATCATTGTTATTTTATCATTAAATAACAATTATTATTATTATATAATTTGTTTATTTGTCCACTGTTTTTTTTTGGGGGGAACCTTCGTCGAAAAAACAACGTACAAACGCGAGATGTCCAACAGCAATGTCCAACAGCAATGTCCAATGTTCAATGTCAACAATGAAAATAAAATTATTCATCATCAATATTATCCATCAATAATCATTTTCATTTATGAAACTATTTACAAAACCTTATTACGTCAAAAGTAACAGTCAGGAAAAGGTTTTTCCCTTATCAACGGTTTTTTTTTTGGATGTGAAAAGTAAATTTCTCTTTTCTTTTCCACACTTTTCTCTCATTCAAAATTCGAATATATTGGAAATTTTGGATCGATGGACTTTACAGCAAAAAACAAATCGCCATTTAAATCATCAGTTTCTTCCTTCCTTCCGTTTTTCTTTTTTGAGAAACAAAACAAAATGTTTTTTCTTTTTCTCTCACAATTAAATTCTCTATTAATATTTTGTCATTGTTTTTGGCAATCATGGTATGTATTGATGATCATGACACAGATGAAACAAACATCTCACCATCATCATCATCATCATCAACAACGGTGAAAAACAAAAAAGATTTTGTTTAAACTTAACATCATCATCATCATCATTGTTGATGTTGCTGGAACAACAAAAAAAAGTGAGATTTTTCAACAGCAAAAAAAAAAATATTTTTAGATTTTCAGTTTTTCCTGAAAAATTGTGAAAACAAAACAATTTTTTCGAAACGAAACAAAAATTTCATTTCAAAATTTTTATTCGAAACGATAACAATCGATTATATCGATTTCGTAAAAAAAAAATTTTCGTTCGAAAAAAAACCCCCGAAAAAACGATGGCTTGCCATCATCATCATCATCAACAACATTATCATCGACATTACCATTATCGTCATCATTTTTTAATTATTTTATCAATTATAATAATTTTTGTAAATTTTTGCCATTGGTATGTTTATTATTGTTGTTTTTGTAAAATTCTTATAATTTTAATTTTGTTTTATATTTTTTCAAGTTTATTATTTCGTGATAATGTAAAATTTCGTCATCCACAAATCAACAATAATAATGATGTTGATAATAATGATAAATGTTCGAAATTAATACAAAAAATTAATGATACACATTTGAATCGTGCATTCATTGAAGCATTATCCATTCATAATCGTATTAGTGATTTGGAACAGGATTTAGATCGTAAACATTTGGATACAATCAATACAACAACCATTACATCATTAGCACGTCATATAATACCTGCTAAACATCAACATGAAATTCTTGAACTGCATCATGAACAACGTCCATATGAAGAAGCGTCGAAAATTATTGCCAAAAAGTTTGTTTTTTAGAATTGGAACTGAAATTTTTTTTTTTATTCTAAACTTTTTAATTCTTTTCCAAAACTGTAGTTTTTCATTAAGTTTGGAAAAAATTCGTGATCTAAGCCATATATCAGCCACTAATCTAACAATCGATCATCAACATTATCGTTCAAAACGACAAACATGTAAACCACCGATATTCTGTAATCGTAATCGTTTTCGTACAGCCGATGGTAGCTGTAATAATTTACGTAATCCACGTTGGGGAAAATCATTTGAATGTGTTATTCGTTTATTGGATCCTGATTATTCTGATGGTTTGTTTGATTTTTTTGATGATGAATGAACCATTTGAATCAATCTTTTTTTTTGTTTTGTTTGCCATAAAGGTATTTCGAAACCACGTTTATCTGCATCAGGTAATCCATTACCGAATGCAAGAATGTTATCCGGTAGAATACATCCACAAGAAGATGCACAAGGAAATTTTACACATATGCTGATGCAATATGGACAATTTTTAGATCATGATATTTCATTATCACCGGTTAATCGTTTGAATCGTGTTGGTATTAATTGTTGTCCACGACCAACACATCCAGAATGTTTCCCGATTGAAGTTTTTCCAAACGATAGTGTATTTGGACGTGAAAATAAACGTTGTTTAAATTTTGTACGATCAACATCATGTTTAACATGTCGTTTTGGACCACGTTTACAATTGAATAAATTAACATCGTTTATTGATGCATCAAATATCTATGGTAATACAATGGAAGAGACAAGAAATTTACGTTTGTTTAATAGAGGTAATTGTTTTTTTTGTCTGTTAAATTTCAATTTGTTTGAATCTAATTCTCATATAATGAATTAGGAATGTTAGTATTCGATACTGATCGTCGTGATAATATGATTTTACCACAAAGTAATGATGTACTTAATGATCAATGTTCAGAACCATCGAAAAGATCTATTTGTTTTCGTGCTGGTGATAATACACGTGTCAATCAACATCCTGGTTTATTAGTTTTACATACTATTTGGGTATGATGATGATGATGATGATTGGAATTTTTGTTTTTAAAATAAATTTTTTCATCATCCAAATATAGCTTCGTCAACATAATCGTATTGCAAATATGTTGATTGAATTGAATCCAAATTGGAATGATGAAAGAATATTTCAAGAAACTAGGTAATTAATTTGATTTGAAGACATTTAAAAATTTCAAATTTTACTTTTACTTTAAATTACAGACGTATTATTGGTGCACAAATGCAAATGATTACCTATAATGAATTTTTACCAATTGTTTTGGGACAGAATGCAATGTCTTTTTATAAATTAACTGTACTTCGAAATGGTTTTACTACATATGATTCGAATGTAAATCCATCGATAATCAGTGAATTTTCAACCGCTGCATTTCGTTTTGGTCATAGTTTAATAAATGGAAAATTTACAATGATTGGTGCCGATAGTCGAAGATCAACATTCAATTTGAAAGATAATTTTTTTTCACCATCACGATTACGTAATGGTGAATTAGATCAGATTGTACGTGGTTTAGTTGGAAAAAGTGCACAACGATTTGATCCATTTTGTCATTCAGATTTACGTAATAATTTATATAAATCAAAAAATGAATTAAGCGGTTCAGATTTACCTGCAATGAATATACAACGTGGACGTGATCATGGTATACCTGGCTATGTACATTATCTACAATTATGTTTCGAAGATGTATGTTTTTTTTATGTCTTATGTCTTGTCCACCTATGTTAATTAATTTTTGTTTCCATTATTAATAGAAAATTACAACATTCGAACAATTAGATCAATATATGCCAAAAGAACAACGTCAAAGATTTCAACAACATTATGATTCGGTTGAAGATATTGATCTATTTTCTGGTGGTGTTTCTGAATTACCATTAATCGATGCTGTTGTTGGACCAACATTTGCCTGTATAATTGGTGTACAATTTAATCATCTAAAATATGGTGATCGTTATTATTTTGAACATGATAATCAAGATGGATCATTTACAAAAGGTATTTTCTTCCAAAAAAAAAAAAATTTTTATTTATTTTTCAAATTTTGTTTTGTTTTGTTTTGTTTTCTCAAACAAAGAACAATTACAATCAATAAGACAAACATTATTTTCGAAAATAATTTGCGAAAATGGTGATGATTTTCAACGAATTCATCGTAAAGTTTTCTTACTCAATAATGAAAGGTAAGTGTTTGTATGTGTGTGTGTATGATTGATTGATAAAGTGAAAAGTGAACTTTGTTTGTGCAACTTTTTTTTGCCATCTTTTTCAATTTTTTTNAAAATGGATCATTTAAAAAAGGTTTTTTTTTCCAAAAAAAAAAAAAAAAAATTTTTATTTATTTTTCAAATTTTGTTTTGTTTTGTTTTTTTTCTCAAACAAAGAACAATTACAATCAATAAGACAAACATTATTTTCGAAAATAATTTGCGAAAATGGTGATGATTTTCAACGAATTCATCGTAAAGTTTTCTTACTCAATAATGAAAGGTAAGTGTGTGATTGAAGTATGATTGATTGATAAAGTGAACTTTGTTTGTGCAACTTTTTTTTTGCCATCTTTTTCAATTTTTTTCGTCGGATCAACAAAATGATGATGATGATTCGAGTGATGAAAGGATGATGATGATATGGATAAATATTTGCTTTTTGAAGCATGTTTTATTTGTCATTTTGCTTATTTAGCGTATTTCGAAATTTTTTTTCATCATTAATAATCATTATCATTTTTATTTTTCATTTATCCATCTTTTTTCTTCTTCAGCAAACCTGATCTAAAAGTAACATCATGTGAAGATATACCGGACATTGATCTGTTACCATGGAAAGAATAATAATTGATGATCACGATAATGACGATTTGATTTAATTAAATGTGATGTGCTGATTGTTTCAAATTTTTTTTTTCGACTACTTCTTCATCGACTTCGATTTTTTTTTCCATGGAATTGGATTAGAAAAAAAAATATGATTGACCTGATGGCTAAATTGATTAATTATCAGCAATATCAATATTTATAGTGTTTACACTTTAACAATTTTTTTTTCTTTCTCTTAATTTAATTATATTTTGTACTCATTTTGTTAGTTTTGGTTTGGTTTCACAAAAAAAATGACCAAACCAAAAAAAAAACATTATGGATTTAATTTATAAGATATTTTTTTTTATGTTTTCAAAAACAAAATAAATTATCAAAAGAAAAATAAAAATAATTAAATTTATTGATGATGATTGAGGTAATTTTCATTATCGATCGATCGATTGATTTCATTTTTGCATCGATTTTTGTTTTTTCGTTGATATTGATAATTTAATTTGCTTAATTGGCAATTTTTTGTTTCTGTCACCGATTCGAATCAAACTTTGTCTTTCAAAATGTTGATTATTTGAGAGAATTGTGTTTGGTGGAAAATACATTTTTTGTTTTTTTGTTTTTTGGTGAAATTTCTGGCTCGAATTATCATCCAACAATCGAAACGAAAAAAAATTTATTCTTGCTAAGTACGTGCGTTTGGTCGGTTGTTTGGGATATTCGACAAACAAAAAACAAACAATGATGACAATGATTTTAAAAAGGTAAATTTAATAATTCAAGCAAAATTATCAAGAATTTTTTTTTGTTTAAATTTTTCATTGGAAATAGAATCTGGATTTCAACAGTAATCGTTGCTATAATATGTTCGAAAACTATTTCGACACAAGATCCTCTTCTTGATTCTTCTGATCTTCGAACATGGGATTCGGATGAATTTGAACGACAATCTTTGCTATTTCCAGATGATGATACTAATCTTATTAATGATGTTGATGATCCATTGGTTCGTAATTTACCATCATCAATTTATCCAAGTTCAAATAATTATAAATCGGCAAAAAAATTATTATTAAAACCATTACGTTATCCATTAACATCACCATATCAAGTTATACCTGGTTCATATCAATTACCTAAAAATGATCAATATTATGGTTATAATATACCGAATATAACATATAATGCAAAATCTATTTATACTAATTATCTGGTTAATAATAATGCTGGTATGAATTATTATTATGGTGGTAAAAATTGTCAACAAAAATATGGTTATAATAAACAAATTGTACCTGCTGATTTAAATCAGGCATTTGCATATGCCGAACAAGGATTACAACAACGATATCCTGAATATTCTAATCAAAGAAATTATCGTGATGTTGATCGTAAAGAAATTGAATCAACAAAGATGGAATTAGTATCCGAATATTTTGCTCGTTTGTAAGTTTTCTTGTTTGTTTGTTTTTTATTTGAATTTTTTTAAAATAATCGCTGTGTCCACCATTGATCAAATTAGCAAATGTTTGGATAAATATCAGCTTGGTGTTTATTTACCAACAATTCCGGTAAATTATCAACAAAAAAATATGGATCTATCCTGTTCACCATATTGGAATGAAAAATATCAATGTAATTCATATCGAACATCCAAATATCGTACATTAGATGGATCTTGTAATAATTTACGATCACCATATTGGGGACGATCATTTAGTTGTCATATTCGGTTATTACCACCAGATTATGGTGATGGTTTATATGCAATGCGTTTATCTAAATCTGGTCATAGTTTACCAGGTGCACGTACAATATCCAATTATGTTACACAAAATCGTGATCTTCGATCCGTTTATACATCATTGATGGTATCATTTGGACAATTTATTAATCATGATATGACTAGTACGGCAAATTATCGTCAAACAACTTCGAAACAAATTGATTGCTGTAAACAAGCTGATCCTAAATGTGTTGCTATTATGATGGATTCGGTTAATGATTATGTTGAAACAGTTTACAAAACAAAATGTATGAATTTTATTCGTTCACAACCATGTGCATTATGTAAATTGGGTAAGCATTTGATATTTGTCAACAAAAAACAAAAAACAAAAACTCTTATTTTCGTTATCCTGCAGGACCACGTGAACAAATGAATAAAGCAACATCATTTTTAGATGGTTCAGCAATTTATGGATCATCATTGAATACATCCAATTCATTACGATCATTTCAAAAAGGACAATTACTTGCAATAGCTGATGCTAAAGGTAATCCAATATTACCATTCGATCCAACTTTAAAACCATGTCAACCATCAATACCTGGTCTAAGTTGTTTTAAAGCTGGTGATGAACGTGCTAATCAACAACCATTACTGTTAACAATGCAAACAATATGGTTACGTAATCATAATAATCATGCAATGAGATTAAGTCAAATTAATCCACATTGGAATGATGAACAATTATATCAAGAAGCAAGACGATTAACAATTGCTGAAATTCAACATATAACATATAATGAATATTTACCAATAATACTTGGTCCATTATTAATGGATTATTATCGTTTATATTCAAAACCAAATTATACATATAGTTATTATGAAAGTTTTACCGATCCATCTAGTTGGAATGAATTTGTTACAGCTGCAAGTCGTTATGGTCATTCACAGATTAGTGATTTTTATACATTAGGTATTTATGGTAATCTTACAAAATTTCCATTGAAAGAAAGTTTTTCCGATCCAACATTAACTTACAGTGGTATGGTAAGTGTATTGGGAAAAAATTTCAAACAACAAATTGACAAAAAATTAATTTTCTTAAAATATAATTCCAGACAGAAGAATTACTTCGTGGACTGATTGGCGAACATGCACATACAGTCGATCCATATTATGCTGATGTTGTTAAACAATATATGATGAAAAATAAAACACAACCACATGGTTTTGATTTGGTTGCCGTCAATATTCAACGTGGTCGTGATCATGGCCTTCCCGGTTATGTTCATTATTTGAAAGCATGTTTCAATTATGATGTAAGCTTGTTTGTTTGTTTCTTTTGAAATTTCATATTCACTTTGCTCACACTTTTTCCATAAAAAATTAGGCAAAATCATGGAATGATTTGGAAAAATTTATTCCACGTAAAACACTTGAAAAATTTAAACGTCTTTATAAGTAAGTTAAATTTGAAAGATTTTGAAATTTTTTTACTGAAAAATTCTTCTTTTTCCCCAAATTTCCAGTTCAATCGAAGATATTGATCTTTATATTGCTGGCGTATCGGAACGACATTTTATCGATGCAAGTGTTGGTCCAACATTCGGTTGTTTGGCTGGTATACAATTTTATCATCTAAAATTTGGTGATCGTTATTTTTATGAACATGGTCAACAAAGTGGTTCATTCCTTCCAGGTAATTTTATTGTTTTTCATCTTTTTTTTCTCGAATTAATCAATGTTTTGTTTTGTTTTTCACAGCACAATTGGCCAATATAAAACAAGCAGCAACATTATCCAGAATTATTTGTCGTAATGCACGTAATCAACAATATGTTCAAGCTAATCCATTATTGTTTCCATCAAAATTAAATCCACAATTGGATTGTCGAACATTTCCCGATATTGATTATATGCTTTGGAAAGAATAATCAAACGAGAAAAATACCCCAACACAAAACAAAACAAAACAAAAATCTTAATTCTGACAACAACAAAAACGAAGGAAGAAAATGAAGAATTTTAGTTAATTTTTTTCATCTGAAAATTTTTAAAAAATTGAAAATTTTTTTTTTAATTGAATAAAATTTATTTATTTTATGACGTTTGGTTGGTTGGTTTTTTATCAAAGTCCTATTGGCAATCACACAACAAACAAACTACACAATGCAAGTTATGAATCATAAGGATTTCCGATTTTTTTTTCTGTTTTTTTTTCTAAAATTGGAAAATCGGAAATTAATCATTTTTCAATCAAACAATCGACGTTAGCCAATTGAAAATTTTTATTTAGCCTATATAAATATCACTCTCTCAACTCATTGCTTTCACCCAACCAAAATGATAAAATGTTTTATTTTACCACACACAGAGAAACATTGTAAACAAACAAACAAACATTGGTGAAAACAAAAAACGGTAGTATCGTTCCGTTTTTTATTTATTAATCACTTTATCACACACACACACTTTTCAGACAGGTAAAGATAGAGACAGGTAAATCATATCAATCAATCAATCAACCAGAAAAAATTGAAATTATCATCATCACGTTTTTTGACAAAATCAAAAAAAAACAACTAACTAACCGGGAATCTCATATTAAGATAGAGAAAACGAGAAATTATTGCATCAAAAATGCAATTTAATAACGCGGTTTTTTTCGCTGCTTGTTTGTTTTGTTTAATGTTTTGGTTTTTTTTGTTTGATTCAATTCAATTCCATAAACATCATTCACACAAACAAACAAATCATCCGTCATTACCATTCTGATGTCTTGAAAATCGTATAAATCAATCAATCAAAAATACAGGTACACAGGTGACCAGCCAACATTGAAAAAAAAATTATCCATATTTTGATTGATTTTTAGACATTGAAAAAACTCATTACATGACTCATACACCACATCCATATAAGCGATATGCATACATAGATTTTATTATTAAATTGAACTTGTTGCTGCTTTAAAAAAAGAGCAACAGGTTGGTTGGTTGTTCAATCAGGTATTTTATTATATCAAAAAAGTAGACATTCTTTTTTTGTTTTTGGTAAAGAAAAAATCATGGTCGTCGTCGTCGTCGCCGCCGTCGTAGTGACGCCGACGACGGCAACGATATACCGACGACGACGACGATAAACATTGATGATGATGACGATAATGACGATGTCGACGTCAACAACTCTGTCGGTAGTGGTTGAATGGAATTTTAAAAAAATTGAAAAGAAAAAAAAACATCACTGCCACCGGTTTGATTTGATATGTTTTTTTTTGGCTGGAAAATGACTTGAATGGAATGAATGAATGAATGGTTATGGTGATCATTCATGGATGAATGAAAATTTTCATAATGGAAAATCAAAGTCAACATGGCAAACCAATGAAAATTCCCATTGTTTGTTTAAAATTCTCTTAAAAGTTAACTTTAAAAAAAAAAATGGGAAAAAACATCAATCAGCTATCATCGATCATCAGTGATCATTGATAATTTCCATAGGAATTTTTCTGTTTTTCTGTGCTTTCAATCCAAAAAAATAATCGTCGTGTGGATGTGTGCCCATGATGCACATGTGATACAAACTCCTGAATGAAAAACCTTGATTGTTAAAAAATTTTAATTTTTCACTTTTTAAAACAAAAAAAAAATCCTAAATTGATTATCATCATCAAAGCCAACCAGCCAACAGATTCTTCTTTTTTCCAAAGAAAAAAATCACTTTTTTTTTGTCGCCAATTTTAAACAAAAAAACAACATTAATAAACATTACGTTCAATCAAAAATAATTTTGATAAGAAAACATAATCATTATCTCATCATCAGTGATCATCATCATCAACATTGGATGAATTGAGTGATAAACAAAACGATTTATATTGGATCAAAAATTGGTTGGTGATTTTTTTATTATTATTTCTTTTTAAAAAACTAATAAAATGTTTTGTTTGATTATAAAAAAAACTAATTCTTTTCTCTGTTTTTTAGATGATAAAAGTTTCCGATAGTCTCCTTATCTCTCATTCGCTCTACAAACATTGTTTCATCATCATCATCTTATTGTGTATGTCGCACACAACCAACAACCAAAACAACAAGTAAAAAATTTCAACATAAAAATGTAAGAAAAATGATGATTCCAATCCGGTTGTTATGTTTTAAAAATCATTTTTAATCATTGTGTGTTTCTTTTTTGGTGTCTGGAGAATAATCATTGTTGTAAAATATTTGAAATATTTTTCTGTTGTTGTTGTTGATTTTCTGCTGGATGAACGTCATTCCAATATTTTTCTTTTTGATTTTGGTTAATTCCAATGTGCTGTGTTCTGTGTTTTAGACATCCGGCTTGCATCCTGAGAAATGAAATGAATCATTTCTTTTAAATATAAAGACATTTTAGAAAAAAAAAACTAGAAAAACAAGAAGAATTTCTTCAGAATATTGTTGATTGATTGACAAACGACAATTTCATTTTGTAATTTTACATTCGAATATTTATTACCATTATCAATAATTTCGTCATATCCTTTTTGTTTGTTTATTTGTTATTGATTTCAGTTGAAAAAAAAAACAAAATTATCTTTTAATTTTTTTCAATTTTGAAATTATCTTTTTCTAATTTTGATGGCGTCATTGTTTTTTGTTTTTGTTTTTTCGTGCTCTACAATTCATCTTTGGTTTTGTTAATTTGTAATTAAAAATCATTAATATTTTTCAAAAACAAAACTTTTTTTAATTATCATCGTCGTCATCATCGTCTGGTATGTTGAATGTTTATTTATCTATTTTTTAATATTGATTTTATTTGATTTTTTTTCAAATTTCAAATTATCATCGATCAATCAATCAATCAGTCAGTCATAAATCATGTTGACTATTAAAACACCAGATATCAATGATCTTCATCATCATGTTCATCATCAACAAAATCATCAACAAATCAATTATCGTCAATTATCATCATCATTACCATCATCTAATTTGGAACAATTAGATACATCATCATCATCATTGTTAACATCGAACAATCATCAACAACAACAACAACAAACACGTTCATCATTGATATTAACTGATCATCATTCATCAATAACGATGGCTATTGCAACACAAATAACATCCACATCACAACAACAACAACAACCGCCGCTGCAACAACCTCAACTGCCGCAATTGCAAACAATGATACAATCGCAACAACAGCAGACGCAACAACTGCAAACGCAGCAACATTTGCAGATGCAAACGCAACAGACGCAACAACAAAAACATATCGATAATATTGATCGTATGATTGGAATCATATTTGTACAGGAAACATTTATAAATAATTATGATAATAGTAGATTAATTTATCCAAATGAAATATGTTTGGGTACAATAATCTTATCCAAATATAATCATTTAATTTATGCAAATTCATTACGTAAATTAATCAAACAAGAATCAATATTTCAAATGGATGATAATTTTGTTTTCATATCACCATTTGGTTGTATAATATCCCAGGAACAAGAATCACAAATATTAATTTGTTATTTAATAACGGAAAAAAATACAATACAATTACGACGAAAACCTAAACAAAATTGTTTTTCATTAATAGGATTTTATTCAACAACAAATCAATCATCATTACCTTTGACAATATTTATTGATTATATTTATGCAAATTATTATTTAGATTTAAAACAATTACGAACAATAATTGATGATAAACTTGAAGATATGAAACCAGTAAATCGATTAAAATTATCAAATCAAACATATTATTTTCGTAAATCATCTGGTTTGATTATCAATCCATTAAATGAATCGAATATTCATTTAATTGAAATAATTAATTATTCAAATATTATGATTGAATTTGAACGATCATCATTATCAATACAAGATTTTACAGATCAAAGAAATTTAATTGCATTTAATCAAGATCGTTCGGTTAAGAAATTTATTGAAGATATTCCAACATCATCGACAACGACGACAGCATTAACAACAACAACCAAAACAAACAATAACAACCATAATAATATCGAAGGAAGATCAGATTCGATATTGATAAAAAATCGTCCATCACGTTCGATATATCGAAGGAAAACAACGAAAAAACGTATTAAACAAATTATGATTAGTTATGTTCGTCATGAAGCTGCTGATCATGCATTACAATTAAAAAAATCATTACTTGAATGTGGTTTTTCGGTTTATCTGGTAATATCAATCGAATCAAAATCAAAATCAATTTTATTTTATTTAAATCTTTCTTTCTTTGAATGTTAATAGGATGTACATGAAATACAAATGGGTAGCGATTGGCAAGATTCATTAAATTCAGCTGTACAAAATTGTAATTATTTTGTTCCATTAATAACACAAAATTATGGCCGTACACAATGGACGAATAGAGAGGTTTGTTCCGCCAAATTGATTTTTGATTCTTATAATTTTTTCATTTTGATTTTTATTTAGATAAAATTAGCCGATATTAAACAAAAACATATCATACCGATAAATTTTTTAGATTTATGGCCACCCGAATGTTTAGCAATACAATTTGCAACCACTCAATACATATCATGGAATCCACATTCAGGTAATTTGGTGATTTGTTTGTTTGTGAAATCTTTTCATTCAATTTATTCATTTTTAATTAGATTCAAATGAACCAAATAATCGTTATGATGGTAAAACATGGCCTATTGAAGAAATATGGGAAGTAACAAATTTAATAAAAGAAAGAATAAATAAATTATCATTACGTGTAACATCGACAACTATTAATGAAGATTTGCCATCAATACAACAACAAGATAATAAAAATCATTATCAATCACAACAACAACAACAACAACAACAACAATCAGAACAACAACAACAACAACAAACAACAACAAGAAAATTAATTGTTATTAGTTCACATCCCGAACAGCAACAAGAATCGGCAAGAATTAAATCAATTTTATCGGATAAATATGATGTTTGGTGTAGTAATGATTTTAAAGATTTGGTTGGTACAAAAATAATGAATAATAATCATCCAAATAATCAACCACCATCATCATCATCATCATCAACATCAACATCATTTAAAAATCGTTTTGATCAAGATCTAACGACAATTAGTGAAGAAAATTCTACATTAACCCGTTCGACACAGGATTATGCACGTCATATTGCTGAAAGTTGTAAACAACGGCCAAAATCCGTACCAAATCCCGATCGTTTAACAATAAATAAGAAAAAAGAATTAAGTCGTGTATTTTCATGCGGTGAAACAACACATCATTCATCATTCAGTGCTGATAAATTAGATCATTTACAATGTTTTCAGAAAAAAGTATCACAATCATCATTAGTTATAATATTATCATCGAAAAAATATTTTAATTCAAAAACATCGGAAGAACATGTTTATTATTGTGGACAACGTTTTAAAGCAATACATGTACAATATGATGATAGTCCATCACCAGTTTGGTTTACCAAATTGATTAGTCATGAAAAATTGGTATGTTTTTTTGTTTCTCTCCTAATTTTCATTCATTTATTCATTCATTTTCTTTTCTTTTCTCAATAGAAATATAAAAGTCCAACATTTGAAAATGATCTATTAAATCGAATCAGTCGTACATTAGATCCAGATTGTAAAGAAATAAAATATGATGATCAAATTATTAATTGTTTAGCTGATATGATGAAAAAAAATATGCCCGATCAGGAAACATGTGTGTTTGTATTCGGTAGTACAAATACAGATAATTTAGATCCCCGAACAAATCAAATATGTAAAGAAATTGGTAAAGAATTAGCAAAACTTGTAAAAAATATAAATATTATAACAAATGGTACATATGGTGCTGGTGATATTGTTGCACATACATTTTATGAAGAATGTCGTACAAATCATTCATCACAAAAATCTACTGGTTCAGTTGTACATATTATACCACAACGACAAGATGATGATCAAGATATAACACCGGAAAAAGTTTCATATGGACAGACAATATTTTTAGGACAATCAACTAAACAAAGAGATTCGGTTATTGCACGTATGTTAGATACGGCATTATTGATTGGTGGTGATAAAGGTAAACCCCAAAAAAATCGATAATCGATAATTAACTAATTGATTTAATTAAATTAATTAATGATTTTTAGATGCTGCAAGAGAAATTGAAGAATTTATATGGAATGATCATTTTGTTATACCAATAAAATCAACTGGTGGTGCAGCGGGTGGTGAATTTGAAGTACCACAAAAAATGTTCAATTGTCCGATTGGTGTTGATGAAAAAAATTGGCAAATATTATCGGAAACGAATGCAACACCACGTGAAGTTGCTAAAGCTGTTGTTAATATAATATTTCAATTGAAAAAAGCAATATATGAACATGCAAGTAGTAGACAAAATATTATTATTGATAATAATAATTTAGTTGAAAAACAAAATAAATCATCATTAACAAATGATCATCGACAAATTAAAAGACGTTTAGCTAATAGAAAAAAATTAAATACCGGTTCAGTGAATAGTAATAATGTTAGCAAAACAGAATTGAATCATAATCATCAATATTTTAATCATAATGGTCAAACAACAACATTACGATCAACAACATCATCATCAACAATAGCAACAATTGAACAACAACGATCATTACCATTATGGTCAAAATCAATTTCAAGTGAAGATTCAAGTAATTTAAGTAATAGTGATTCTGGTGATCTGAATGGTAATAATAGTGGTATTGATAATATTGATGGTAATATTGTTCATCTACTAAATAATAATAATGATAATAATAATACAATGAATCGTTTACGAAAATTTTTTCATCGAATACTTTTTAGAAAAAAAGAACGATCATCAATCTAATCAACCAATCAATCATCATTATCAATTAGAAAAAAATTCTTGTCATTTTTAAGATTTTTGAAAAAAAAATATTTATTATTTTCTTAAATAAAAATTGAACTTTGATCGCAAACATAAATGTCAAAAATGATTATAATTTTTTCCTTCTTTTGTTTTAAATGCAAACAAACAAAAAAAAGAAACAACAACAAACACACACACACTGGACAGTAAAAAAAAAGAGAAGCAAAATAATTAATTTATAAATCGATCGATTGATGAGGTGATTATGTTTTGTAAATTAACAAAATGATAATTTTTTTGTTTCTTGAAAAATGAAGAGATCGGTTATGACTATTTTTTGATTTTTTGTTTGTTTTTCATTTAATTTTTTTACTAAATTCTTGTTGTTGTTTTTCTTTCCATTCATCTTTAACATTTAAACGTTTTAATTGGCCATCCCATTGTAGATCAACTAAACCGCCACGTTTAGCTATTTCAGATTTAACACGATTTGCAAAATCAATGGCACTTTCGTTGGGCTATATTTTTTTTTGATTGAAAAATTGGTTTAAAAAAAGAACGTTCAAAAAACTAACCAAAATTTCTCACACTCTTTTCACCACTTACCTTTTTAGTCATCGGTGGTAAATACCAAACATCACATACAATTGCCCAACTAGTCATCATTAACATTAAATAATACATATAACCATGTTTACTACTATTCCAGAATGGATCACCAAAACGTGAATCATACTGTAATTCAATGAAAAGTTTCAAAAATGATTTTTTTTTTTTTTAAGAAAGAAAAAATCTAAATAAACATACCTTTATGGCAACTGGATAAACAATATTGGCAATTTCAAATGAACCTTTTTTAAACATCATCACAGCCGAATTATTTATACAAGTACCTTCAGGAAATATCAGTATTGGTAGATTTTTTGGATCATTAATATACACGCTAAGACGTTTAACAACCAATTTTTTATCATTAATTTCAAAACGATCAAACCAAATATGATTTGAAGCACGTTGTAATGCACCCTGTAATATACCAAGAAAACCACCTTGTTTTTGGCCAACTAATGCATAACAATTATCGCATGCTAATACAGCTACATCCTAAACAACAAAGAAACCAAAAATTTTTGATTAATCAATAAGAATTATCAACGAAAACAAAACAAACATACAATTGGACTAGTATGATTAGCAACTGTAATACCGCCCGGTTTAGCAATATTATGACGATCATGAAACGTTATGATACCGGAAAATGCACGTGACATTATACGAAAACAAACTAAACTTGCATTATAATAGATTTTACGTTTAAATTCCGAATCCGGTAAACAGCCAATCAAACCAGTACAGATGATTAAAAACAAAACACTAATTATTGTAACAATAATTCTTGTTGGCCATAATATAAAATAACGAATACAACAACCAAAACCCCATAATATTGTTAAACGTAATGATAGATGAGTATATTTTTTATTTGTTCGTGTAAGTAAATTCCATGATGGAAGTTCTGTTTGATGGAGAAAAAATCAATATCTTTCTTCAAAATAGAAAACAAACCTTCAGTATCAAAACGTTTAGTAACTTCATCATCGACAATTGCTTGTATACCATTACGAATTAATAAACAAATATCATCCAGATGAAAATCTTTTTTATTCTCATAATTTATCATTAAATTATCGATTACTGATGTCTTTTTTTGTTGTTGTTGTTGATCTCCATGATTACCATCATCATTATCAATGATGTCTTCTTCATCATCAATATCATCACTGTTATCATCATCATCATCCTCATCGAATGATTCATTATTTAGTTTTCTATTTTTACTCAATTCACTGTCGATTCTTTGTTTACCAAACTAAAAGAAAGAGAGAAAAGAATTGAGAAAAAACAAAAAACATTCGAATTGAAACAACAACAACAACAACTTACATCGAATATTTTCAATAATAATTTTACATAAAGTTTACGAAAACCAACCGATATGCCCAATGATGCTAATATCAATGATATTAATAAACCAATGAAAAAATAATATAAAAAATTAAACATAAATGTTGTTTGATTGACAAAGTTGCCATCATTATCATTATCATTATAATCGTTGTTGTTGTTGTTGTTGTTATTGATGATAATATTGTTCATAAATGTTTGAAAATTATCAACAATATTACCACCACCGTCATAACCATCATCATCATCATCATTATCGTTGATATTATCATCCGCATCATCACTATTGCCGATGATGAAATTGAAGAATTTTTTCATTTTTTTTTTGTTGAAATTATTCTTCTTTTATGAAATGTGGGAGTTGTTGTTGTTGTTGATGAGGATGAAAAAAGTTTTTCTATTTTTTGGTTTCAGTTTCGTCGTTAATATGATAAAATGTAAACAAATCATAACGATTCGATTAAATTTTTTTTTGTTTGTAAAACGGTTTGTTTGTTTATTTGTTTTTAATGTGAGTGAATTAATTAACAAAAAAATTTAGAACAAAATCTACATAATTGTAATTGTAATACATTGGATATTTAATTGAAAATTTCTTCTTTGGATTTTTTTCGATGATAATCGATACACATCGTTGTTGTTGTTAGAAAAGGAAAGGAAAGGAAAGAAATCTTATAACGGATTGATTACTCGCGTGTTTGTTTTTTTGGCTCAGGTATCATCATCATTATTTATCAATGGAAGAATTCTCAGTGTGTGGAATGTTATGGATAGATTTTTTTTTCTGTTATGATTAAAACAGTGTTTTTAAGAATCAAAAATAGATGGCGTTTGAAAATTATGCGCATGTTCAAAACGAATTCGAATCACGCTTTACACACACACACGTTGTAGATATTCCTTTTCCGTCGTTTACGCTCATTCATTTCGCATCGTGTTTTTGTTTTTTTGCTGAAAAAAATCTTTGAATTTTACGATGCCACCCGTACAAAAAAAGAATCCATCGGCTTCTGGTGCTTCTGGAGCATCAAAATCAACAGCATCGAAACTAGCATCGGCTAAAACAGCTCCAGCTAAAGCTGCTGCTGCAAAAGCTCCAGCTCAACAACAAACAAAAAAACCGAAAACATCAGCGGCTGGAAAATCGGCTGGTGGTAAACCTGCAACCCGACAAGTGGCCAAAGTTAAAGCATTGGATGCCCAGAATAAAGTGAAAAAAGGTACCTATCAAAAACGAACGAAAAAAATCCGAACAACAGCAACATTTCGTCGGCCGAAAACCAAAATTTTGCCTCGTAATCCAAAATTTCAACGTTATAGTGCACCGAAATTAACATCATTCGATAAATTTTCCATCATCAAATATCCATTGACAACTGAATCGGCAATGAAAAAAATCGAAGACAATAATACATTGGTTTTTATTGTTAATCTTAAATCGAATAAACGACAAATCAAAACAGCATTCAAATCATTATTCGATATTGATGTTGCTAAAGTTAATACATTGATTCGACCAGATGGACAGAAAAAAGCCTATGTAAAATTGGCACCTGATTATGATGCATTGGATGTTGCTAATAAAATTGGTATCATATAAACAGCAAGGGTTTTTTTTGAAAGTCTTTTTTTTTATTCAAACCAACTAAAAAAAACTGATTTAAAATAAAAAAATTTAAAACAAAAAAGAATCTGATTTTGAAGAAAATTTTTATTTATTTATTCATTTTGTTATTATTATTTAACACTAAATTTTTCATTTTGACGACCCGAAATTCTCGATTTGAATATCGATGAAGGAATTTTGGGCTATTCAATTTGGATAAGAAATTTGTTAAGGATGATTATACGGGTGGATATTGTTTATCAAAATCATCCGGTATTGGTACATTTATTTCTTTAGCCAATGACAATAATTGTTCTGTAATAGGAAAAAAATGAAATGGAAAAATTAATCGTTAGAAAGGCTTTGAAGAAATTTCATTGATGTTCAAACCTCGAGTTCGACGATTAGCCAATATACGTTGTTCTTCATCCCAGATTAGTTTTTGTTCACGAAGTTTAATACGATGTAAACGTTCACGTTCGGCCAATGTTCCTGGAATAATAATGATTTTCGAATGGAAAGGGAAAACAAAGTTTGAATCAAATATTTTTTCATTTAAAAAAACTTACTATGATGTTTCATTCCATAGGCAACTCCGGCTATAAGAAGACTCCAACGGCAAAACTTTTTTGAAAAAAAAACAAAAGATTAAGAAATTTAAATTTAACGAAGAAAAATCTTACTCGAATAAATGGTGAAACACGAATCGGTGCAGGTAATTCCGATTTCGGTAATGTATAATCAACAGCCATTATCGTTTATCTTACCAATGTTGTTTCAAAGTAAAGAAATCAAACCAAAATTTCAATTTTCTAAAAGAGATAAACTTGATGGTGAAAAATGAAAAAAAATCGAATCAACCAAACACCATCGAATGTTTTTACACAAAAAGAAAAATTGACCTTTGCCAAAAATAGAGAGAGAGCGACAATCGATATCGATTGAGTTACACAAAACAATCGATTGTTTTGTGAGATTTTATTTTCAAAAAAAACATTTTTGTTTGAAAATTTTTTCAAATTTGTTTCTTTCTTCAAATTAATTAAAAACAAAATGCCCATCATAGTTTTGTTGGATAATTCATTTTCAATGAATCAAGATGTATCATCATCATCATCATCGATAAAATCCAATTTTACAGTATCGAATATCGAAACAAATTATTTATCAAGATTTCATCTAGCTCAACATGGTCTAAGAATTTTATTTCAATTTCTAAAAAATAATCGTAAATTTGAATCAACTGCATTGCTAACATATTCAAGAACGTGTGAAATTATTTCCGAATTTACACGTGATTATGATTTCCTAACCAATTGTCTATCGAATATTAAAACAATTGATCGTTCGAATTTAATGCAAGCATTATTTAAAGCATCCAAAATGATAAAAGATAATTATAATTTTGATCTTTTCTATCATATTATCGTTGTAACTGATGGCCTTGCATTATTACAAACAAATCAATCGAATAAAAATATATTTGGACAATTTGATTTCGAAGAAAATGATTTGGAACAGCTAAAACTGCCATCAAAATGTCGAATACATTTCGTTTGTCTGAATACATTGAATAATATTCGCGTACAAAATTCATTACAAACATTTCAAGAAATTTTATTGAAAAATTGTCAAAATAAATCGAACGATGATTATGATGATGAACAAATTCAAGTTAATCAAAATTATGATGGTGGACAAATATGGATACCAGATACGAAAACATTATCACCAATATTGATTGAAGATTTATTTCATAAATTATGTTCAGAAAATTTTAAATCATTTTCAGGTAAAATTACCTGTGGTGATCTATCTGGTTTGATTAGTCTTTATCCAGATTTACCATCGATTAATGATAAAACAAACATCAACCGGCAACAAATTGATATTATTAGAATTTGTGGATTTTTAAACGCAGATGAAATGTTTGATTCACCATTTTATTCACGGCATTATGTTATACCTGTTGCAGAGAAAAATATTGATGAAATGAAAAAATGGATACGTTTTTTAAATTTTAAATCCGATCAATCAGATGATGATATATTACAGATGTTCGGTGATGAAGGTAGACAACCATCATTTGCTGTTTTATTACATGGAAGTTTTAAAATTGCCAATATGATTGCTGTTTGTGAAATTTGTTCACAAGCTAACAACAACAACAATAATCAACAACAATGGTATGGTATATTACAATCGGTTACGGATAAGAAAAAATCCAATCTTATGTTGTTTACATTATATCCTGGTTCGAATCCAATACCATGGTTATCAAATTTTCGTAATTTTTCATTATCATCATCCGATGGAAATACAACCAATTCAACTAACTCGAATAACAACAATAGTAAAAATAATTTGAAAAAAAATTCCAATCTAAATCCATGGTTACAACCACAATCAGTATTTAATGATATACAAAAAGTATTAAGATTTTTAAAAAAATTACCCGATCGTTATGAACAGCTAGTTACGGAAATTAATCGCATTCAACGTGCTTCAATTGCATTAAAATTTTTTCAATTAATCGATTCATTAATACAGATATTTGAATTCGAAGCACCATTATTACCAAATTATCAACAACAACCACAAGTACGTGAACAGGTTGAACAAATTCTGCAATTTATACGACAAACTAAACAACAAATTGTTGTTCAACAACAACAACAACAACCGACGACAACAATCACCAATTGATGCCTATAGAATAATTTTTTATTAAAATTTTTCGATTTTTTTAAAAAATCACAGTCATTTACAAATGATTTTTTTGTTTGTTTGTTGTTTTTTGAAATAAAATTTTTTTTTTGAATTTCAGCCCCTTTTTTCAAAGAAATATTTAAAACCATGAAAAGAATGGCGTTTTTCGTTGAAAACTTTGTGTAAAATTATCTTTCATTGTACGTAAACGTCCTTTACCACCCGCATTGGGCATACGACTTTTTTCCATTATAATTGCCGGCATCTGTATTAATTGTTGTGGTGTTTTTTGATCTTTCAAGGCTTGTGTAAGATTTAAGATCTATTTTTTTTAAATGAAAAATTGATTAAAAGTTGATTTTTTTCAATTCTTGCAAAACGAACCTGTCCTCGCATAACGGACATTTGTTTTTCAAAAATATTTCGATCAAATCCTTTATCACTCTATTAAAAAAACGAAAAAAAGAAAATGAAATCTTTGTTTTCTCTCAAAAGAAAAAAAAATTCTTACCGAAAATAGATTGAATAATTCATCACATAATTCTTGTACAAAATTCATATCAGATAATTGTTGTAAAACTAATCGACAAATATTATCGGAAAATGGTTTTTTAGCAAATGATAACCATGCCCAATAATATGGATCTATGTTTGAGGAAAATCATCATTATGAAATTGTTTTTGTAAATAAATCATCATCAATACTTACATGCACGCCATTCATCTGGATGTTTAAATGGAAATGCTAAACCATTATCAATGGCTGCAATTTTTATAAAATTTAATTCACCATCATCATTATATTCTTGTTTAACAAGCCAATTATCATTTCCACGATCAGTATTCCGTATAATATAATCTAAAACAACTAATTTTTCAAATTCTAATTGAAAAATTTCTAATAAATTTTCATCTAATAATGTTTCAGCTTTTCTTAACCATATACAAGCATCTTCATAATTTTCAACATATTTTTGTAGCGAACCAACCTTTATTAAAGTGATTGAAATTTTAAATTAAAAAGTTTTTATCAAAAAAACAAACATACTTTTGGTGGTAAACCAATTCGATTAAAATGTCTACCAACTTTGGGAAATCTTTCTGTTACATTTTTTTTCGTTCTTGATTTAGCTCGATCAATTGCCGAATAATTAAATGTTACACTGGCCAATTTTACAATCTAAATAATGAAGATTTTTTCAAATTAAAAATAAATAAAAAAAAAGAATGTCAAAAATATTTACCCTAGTTTTTGGAACAATATTCAGCTGTAATTTACGATCAACAATCCATGCACCAGCTTCAGATAGATAACCTTGATTCGGTACTAAACATGAACGACCAAAACAACAAGGACAACAAAGTTTATGCATCCATTTTGTCCATTTTGGATTTAAACGGCCATATGGTTCTTCATCTTTTGGTTTGAAAACGCCAATGATTTTCTATCAATTCCGGAGGGGAAAACAACAATAACATTAACATGATGATAATCCAAATAAAACATAACAAAAAAAATACTAACAGTTCCATCATGATTTTTAACAAAATAGCTACCACTTGAACCTTGTGATATACGTTTCGGTAAGAAACCATTATCAATTGATTGTTCAACATCACGTATTAATTGATTAAATTCTTGATCATCAGGAAAATAATTATTTATAATTTGTATACTATCATTATCAAAACAACGTCTTAATAATGGTTGATTTTCATTATCTTGATTTGAACCATATGATGATGAATGAATCATTGATGACACATGTTGTTGTCCAATAATCGTTGCAGATGATGTTGAAACACATGCAACATCAGGTAATATGGTAACGGTAGCTGTTGTTGTTGTCGGTGGTGGTGATGTAATCAATCCATTTACCATCATACAATCACCATTCGATATTTTTTTATTCATATTTGATTCATTTGGAAAAGAATTATCATCATGTTGAACTAGAATATCTTGAAAATTATCATTATCATCATCATCATTTGGTATGGAAATTAATCGTTCAACCATACAAGATGATTGATTTGATGAATTAATTTGAGTCGTAGTTGTTGTTGTTGATTCATTTTGATGATCTAGATGAGGATGATGATGATTATGCAATAATAATAAATCTTGATTATCAGTTGTTGATGGTGGTGGTGGTGGTGCTGCTGGTGGTGGTGATGAATTCGAATCAATCAAAAGATTCGAATTCGAATTCTCATTATTCGTAGTATTTACAAGTTGCGTAACATTCGAATCATTTGGATTATCATTTTGCTGATGATCAGTATACATTCTATTTAAAATTTGTTCCAAATGAAGAAATGAAGAAAATTTGGAATGATTATTTTTGGTTTTTTGGAATCAATTTTGTTTGTTTGAAAAATTTTTTTTATAGAATCTATAGATATATATCAAATATGAATAACACTCAGGCCATATAAAATTGATTGATCGCGATCGATTGATATTTTGTGAGTTGATTTTCGTTAGAGGACAATATGTATAAAATATTTATTTTTATAAACAAAAATAACAACAACAAAAACAACAAAAGTAAATTGAGAAGAGGTGGTTATTATGATGATGATCGAAAAGGCATCTGTGTGTTTATATTATCATTTTAATGATTTTTCGATTCGATTTTTTCCACTGTTCGATAATGATGATGATAATCGCGATCGCGATTTGTTGCTATTTGCTAGGCTATGTTGCAATAGAAAAATCAATGGAAAAAAATGAATGAATCAACCGATGATGATGATCGCAATAAATCAAACAAAAAAATATTATGTTTGTTTGTTTGGTGGTGAAGCAATCGAGGGGGCAAATGCGCCATCACAATATTGTGTTGATATTGATTTTAGGTAATTTTTTTTTCTGTTGTTTAGGTTTATTCACCGCTGTCAATATAGTTGGAATTTTTCATTTTTTAATGCATTCTGCTCAATTGTGAGAGCGTTTTAGAAAATTCTCTAAAATTTTTTACTCAAAAAATTCTGGTTGTTTTGTTTTTGGAAATTTACTTTGATTCAGAATTCTTGTCATTTTGTGCTTTGTTTAGTGTTGTGTAATTTCATCATCAAGGTAATTTTGTAGATTCTGTTCGTTTTTGTTTGAATTTTGTTGAAATTAATATAGGTGGTGGAAATTTTTCACAGAAAAAATGATACAAAATGAATCATCCGAAACATGGATCGAAACTAAAACCGAAAATGGTAAATGTTATTATTATAATGCTAAAACAAGAGAAACAACATGGACCAAACCTGATAATGCAACAATTTTGACGCAAGAACAATTTTTACAAAATTTATTGGCAAATTCACAACAACAACAACAACAGCAATTAAATCAAAATGATAAAGGTAATTTTCAGTTTGGAAATTATGAATTTTCTTCATAAAACTTATTTTCAGATAAACAACAATCTACACCGAAACCGATGATGCCGAATCCATTATGGCCACCACCGATTGGTTTAGCAGCACCAGGATTGATGGCTTCGAATCGTTTTCCACCACCATTCGGTATTCCTCCTATGCATCCGGCTGGTAATTTTTTTTATTTTCTGTTGATCAAAATATCATTCGATTACTAATCGATGTTTTCAAACAACAGGTTTTCCATTTGTAGGTGCACCACCATTGACGAATCCATGGTTAAATCCATCATTACTTCAACATACAGGTGTCGATCCATTAAAACAACAACTCGTACTGAAAATTGATACCGAATTGCGTTCACAGGCAGCCGAATGGATTGAATATAAAACTCCTGATGGTAGAGCTTATTATTATCATAGTAAAACACAAAAATCTGTATGGGAAAAGCCAGAAATTTTGAACAAATTCGAAGGTAATGTTTGTGTGATTTGTGTTTTCGAAAACTTGCTAAATTTTTTGTTTTTTCAAATAAACAACAGAGGCATTGGAGGAATTGAAAAAGAATGAAGCAGCCAAACAAAATGAAAATAAATCTGAGGTAAGAACAACAACTTTAGCAAAAACAGCAAACGATAGTGGCGATACAAATATCGCCGATCACCAGCAACAACAACCACCACCACAACCAAAAAAAGAAGAAATCAAAGATAAATCAAAACCCGTATCAAGTACACCGATTACTGGTACTCCATGGTTAGTTTTTGAATGATTCATTTGTTGTCAAAAAGTTTTTTATCATAATTTTTTTCCGACAAATAAGGTGTGTGGTATGGACTGGAGATAATCGTGTTTTCTTCTATAATCCTAGCTCGAAAACATCATTATGGGATTGTCCACCGGAATTAAAAAATCGACCCGAAATAGCTGAATTGACTAAAAATCCACCAACAAAAGATAAAGATAAGGAATTGTCATTATCATCATCATCATCACAGAATACAATTGTAACAGGTAACAAACGATCATTGGATGAACAATCGAATGGTCACCATTCTCAACCAAAAGAAGAAGAAAGCAATAAAAAATCAAGGTAAACATATCTTATTATCATTGGAATAATCTTATTAATCAGTAAAATTATGACCAATATAGATTGGCGGATAAACCGGATAAAAGTGGCGGTGGTGGCGGTGATAAAGAGAAAAAAGATGGCGGTGATAATAACGGTAAAAATGAAGCTGAATCAATGGCCGAAAAACAACGTGAAACCTTACCAATTGCTGAACGTATTGAAATGTTTAAAGCAATGTTATTGGAAAAAGAGGTAGAAAATATTTATGAAAAAGAAAAGGAAATTGTTTTTCAATTCTTTTATTTTGAAATATTTAGGTTTCAGCATTTTCAACATGGGAAAAAGAATTACATAAAATTGTCTTCGATCAACGGTATTTATTGCTTACTTCGAAAGAAAGAAAACAAGTTTTTGAACAATTTATTAAAGAACGTGCGGAAGAAGAACGAAAAGAAAAACGACAACGACAAAAATTATATCGAGAACAATATCGACAGCTATTAGAACAGGCAAATCTTTCTACTCGTGCTACTTATTTGGAATTTTCACATAAATATGGTAAAGATAGTCGATTCAAGAATATTGAAAAATCACGTGATCGAGAATCATTGTTTAGCGAATTTTTGGTCGAATTAAAACGTAAAGAACGTGATGAAAAAGAAAAACAACGTGAAAAGGTAATTTTTTTTGGTGTTTTCTTTTTTTCCTTCTCATAATTTGTATTTTCAATTAGGCAAAGGCAAATTTTCTGGAATTACTTAAAGAACAACAAAATCATATCAATGGAACAACAACATGGTCGGAAGTAAAGGAAAAAATTCGTAATGATTCAAGATATAAAGCTATTGAAAGTAGTTCAATGAAAGAGATTATATTTAAAGAATTTATTACAAGATTGGATAAAAATCTAACAAATGTTAATGAAGAAATAAGTGAAAGTTTAAAAGAAAAAGAAAAACAAGAAAGAATTGAAGCAAGTTTACGTGAAAGAGAAAAAGAAGTACATCGTGAATTGGCAGCACATTTTCGTGAACGTGATAAAGAACGTGAAAATCATTTACATCAGGAAAATGTTGAAAGTTTTAATGCATTACTTATTGATCTCATCCGTAGTCCAAGTGTTAATTGGCGTGAAGCAAAAAGAATATTGAAAAAAGATCATCGTTGGGAATTGGTTGAAATGCTTTCACGTGATGAAATGGAACAATTATTTGATAAACATTTAGCAAATTTGATTAAGAAAAAACGTGAAAAATTTCATCAAATGTTAGATGAATTGAAAGATTTAAATCTTTCAACAACATGGAAAGAAATTCGACGACAAATTAAAGATGATTCAAGATATCTAAAATTCTCGACAAGTGATCGTAAATGTGAACGTGAATATTATGAATATATTAAAGAACGTTTAATGGTAGCGAAAAATAATTTCAAACAATTATTACAAGAAACAAAATTATTAACATATAAAACAAAACAATTGATTGAAGAATCCGAGCAACATTTACAAGATATAATCAATGTTTTACAAAATGATAAACGTTATTTAATATTGGATGATTTTGCTGATGATCGTAGACAAATATTGATTAATTATATAAGTGAATTACATCATCAGGGACCACCTAAACCGATTACAGCAACAGATCCATCAACATCATCATCATCATCAACAACAACATCGACCACAACAAGAAGAAAATGAAATTTGGGAAATTTGGACATCATTAATTTTGCTTTTGCATGATTATTAATTTTTTTGTATTATAAATATTATCCAAAAAAAAAAATTATATTTATTACTGATTATTATAAATCAATAATATTCTTCAAATTTTTCTATTTGCTACACTAATCGATTATTAGGTCAATTTTTTTTGATATAAACGAAAAAAATTATTAATAAAAAATTTTTAAATTTACAAAAATATCTTGGTTTCTGGGTGGAATTTTTCTTTGGTTTTTTAATGACGTGTTTGTGTTGTTGGGCTGCTGGTGGTGGTGGACTGCTGCTCATCATTGTATTTTCAATCATTTTCAGTCCGTTTTGGTTTGAACGATCAACGATCATCGATAATGGCACCAAAAATTGAAATTTGTGTTGATAATTTTGAATCAATTCGTGAAGCAGTTAAAGGTGGTGCAAAACGTATTGAATTATGTTCCGCATTGAAAGAAGGTGGTCTAACACCAAGTTTAGGTTTTTTAAAATTTGTTAAACAACAATTTTCAAAAGAATTGTTGATCGTTTTTCCAATGATACGTCCACGTGGTGGTGATTTTAATTATTCCGCGGAAGAATTGAAAATAATGGCCAATGATATTGAATGTATGCGAGAAAATGGTTATGCGGATGGTTTTGTATTTGGTTGTCTTCAATCCGATGGTACTGTTGATTTGGAAGCAAATCGTTTTCTGTTGGGTAATTTCGAATGAATGATTTTTTTCGAATGTTTTTTTTTCTGATTTCGAATGTTTTCTTCTTTTCATTCAAGAAAAAGCCAAACCACTTCCATGTACATTTCATCGAGGTAAAACTAAAAATGAATCAACAGATATTTAAACCAAAATAATCATTATACGAAAAAATTGTAGCATTCGATATGGTAGCCGATTGGGAAAAATCCTTGGAAGATATAATTCATTTAGGATTTAAACGAATATTGACAAGTGGTCGAGCAGCCACTGCAATCGATGGTTTAGAACAGATTCAAAAACTGATCGAATTGGCCGATGGACGGATTATCATTATGCCCGGTTCAGGAATCAACGTTGCAAATTTGGCTCAAATTCTGCGGACAACAAAAACACAGGAATATCATTGTTCAGCATCCCGAATTCAACAATCAAAAATGATTTATCGTAATGAACAAATTCAAATGGGAAAATCTAATGAATCAAATGAATTTGAATTGAAAATTTGTGATTCAAATTTGGTTAAACGAATGATTGAAATTGCTTCAAAGTTTTAATTATTTATTTGATTAGAAAAACGAAAAAACAAACGAAAAAAATTCTTGTTCAAAATTCACTGAATCTTGAATGATGCTTTTGATACATCACCGATACCAATTTCAATAATATCATTACTTTTAACAGGGCCAACACCATCCGGTGTACCAGTTAGAATAAGATCACCAATTTCTAATGTAAAATATTGACTAATATAACTAATCAAATGTGGTATTGTAAACATCATATCCGAAGTATTTCCTTTTTGTTTTAATTCACCATTAACTTTACACCAAATATCTAATGAATTAGCATTTGGCAATGCTTCTTTTGGTATAAATTGTCCAACTGGACAACTTGTATCGAATCCTTTCGAAATTGACCATGGTTCACCTGATTTTTTTGCTTTTGATTGTAGATCTCTTGCTGTCATATCTAATGCAATTACATAACCACCAATTAAATCATCAGCTTCATTTTCATTTACTGCCGAACCTTTTCTTCCAATAACAATACCTAATTCAACTTCATGATGTAATTCTTGACAATTTTTCGGTATCCTAATTAGACCATCATTAATTACATAAGCGGTTGCTGTAATTTTTTTTGAGGGAAAAGAAATCCGGTTTTAGAAAAAGAAAGATTTTTATTTGCAAAAAACATACGAGGCTTTAAGAAAACAATCGGTGTTGTTGTTGGTAATGAATATTTCATTTCTTTAACATGTAATTTATAATTCCTACCAACACAGATTATTTTCTTACCAAATTCGGTAAATCTTGCTAGTCGCATTTTTTGAATGAAGATTTTTTTTGTTAAGAAAAGAAATTCCCGAGAAAATAATTCGTTGTCGTTTTGTTTTTTGGTTGTTTTGTGATTGTGATAAACAAGGTCGTTAATAATAAATTGTTTGTTTGTTTGTTTGTCTGGCTACATATGCATCCACCAATCCAATCAACAAATAAATCAATTTTATCACGTAGTTTGTTGATGATTGTTGATATATCACATGTGTGCGACCACGTGATCTATTTTCGGTTGTTGTTGGTTTTCGGTTTTTTTTTTCAAATTTTCAAGAAGATCCCGAAAAGAAACAAACATGGTATTCTTTACCTGTAATCAATGTGGTGATTCATTGAAAAAAAATAAAGTTGATCAACATTTTCGATCATGTTCAACTAAAACCGTTGCCTGTATGGATTGTTTTAAAGATTTTAGGTAAAATTTTTCAATTTTTTTATTCGGTAACTTTCTTTCATCGTTTCTTTTTTCCCCTCAGTTTAAATAATTACAATTTCCATAATGAATGTATCAGCGAAGATCAAAAATATGGTGGACCAAACGGTAAACAACAAGATTATAAAGGAAAAAATAAACAAAATGAATGGATTATGGTTGGTTTGATTGTCGATGGATGTTTTTTTGCATTTTTGAATTGATTTTTTACTTTTCTCTTGATTTAGAAAATCAAATCATTAGTCGAACAGAATACCTATCCGAAAGAAATAAATTCCGTACTGAATTCATTAATTCGTTATGAAAATATCCCAAGGAAAAAAGCGAAATTTATCAATTTCGTTCGAAATTCTTTTCGTATTCGAAATGAAATGCTGATCGATAAAATATGGAATATTTTTGAAGAAGCAATTAAAAATCAAAAAAATTCCAACAACAACAACAACAAATCGAATGGAACAACCCAGAATGGTAATCATCATTCGAATGATAATCAACAAGCAGAACCAGAACAACAACCAAAAAAAGATGATCAAATGGACATTGATAGCCAAAAACAACAACAAGATCAAATCGAAAATCAGGAATCAACAAATGACCAAATCATTAGTATTAAAAAATCTGAATTAAAAACCCTTGTTATTGATATTCTTCGGCGAAAAGGACCAATGTCGAAATCAAAATTACAGAAAAAAATTCTTCGAAAATATCATAAAAACAATGGTCACGATGAACAATCAGATTCATTGATACTCAGAAAATTGGATAAAATTCTTACTAAAAAAGCATTTATTAACGATAATAATAATGATATAATTACATTGTCTTCAGATTGAAATAATAATAATAAATTTTCAAATTTTTTAATTTTGATTTATAAACTTCTTGCTGCTGGTGGTCGTTTTTTTGGATAATCAACAATATATGTTGAATCGGTAATGGAAACAATATTCACACCGGCTAATTGTAAACCTTTAAATGATGACATACGACCAGGACCTAAACCATTAATACAAACACGACATGTTTTATAACCTAATTTTAATATAATTTTACCAAATGATGTTGCCGTTATTTGTGCAGCAATATTTGTACCTTTACGACAATTTTTAAAACCTTCACTACCACAAGCACGACCTGTAATTGGTTGACCATCATGTGTAGTCAACTGAAACAGGGTATTATTTTTGGATGATTTTATCTGTATAATGGGTAATAATTTATATGGGATATTATCGAATAAACGTTCAGAAGTATCAACGGTTGGAAATTCACAGATTCGATTAAATCCAGTTGCTTCAACTTCAACGGATCGCTCACCATGTGAACCTTCATCTTTTTTTGGCATTGATTTTAGCATTAATCTTTTATCTTCAGCTTTCCATAATGATCGACTCGTATGAATTGAACGTAATTGTGTTTGAAAAAATGAACGAAACATTTTTAAAAATCAGATTTGATTCAATCAAAAAATTCAAAAAAATGATGTGATTAGATTCGACAGCTGACTTTTTCAACAAATTCGAACCTTCGTAAAACAATTTCCAAAAAACTTTCGAAAATTTAAAAAATAAAAATTTCCGGGAAAGTTTACAACCAATTTAACAAAATGAATTTAAAATTTATTTGAAAAACAACAAAACAGAAAAAAAACAACTAAAACTTTGTGAATAAACAACATTTGATAAAATCTTTTTTTTGTTTTGTTTAAATGAATTCATAAACAAAATCGTGCCATGAAATTTGAAGGGGAAAAGTTTGCTTTTTTGACCGAAAACAAAAAAGTTATCACCAGCATCATCAAGGAAAAAAAAGATTAATATAAAAATAATTTTTTCAATGATTTAAAATGATTACAAATCGGTATCAGTATTAACATTAATCCACTTAATGTAACCAATGATCCTTGTTATTAGTTTTTGTTCAAAATTCAAAAATCAAACAGAAAAAAAGGATTAGATGCCAATGTTTAACAAAACTGAAATTAACTTACCGATAACTAAAAAACCAGTATCATAAGCTCCAGATAGATCATAGATGAATCCTATTTGTTTGATTCGAAAAATTTAAAAAAATTCAAGCAAATTTGGATTTTAAAAAAAACTAACCAATAAATAATGGTCCTAAAATTGAGGCAACACCTTGAAACAAAAGTATTAAACCAAATGCATTGGTTAATTTTTCCAAACTCAAAAGATCGACAAGAACAACCGATGTTAGGCTTACATAGGTTCCTGTTTTGAAAATCAAGAGAAAAGAATTTTTTTGTAAAATCAATCGAAAATCAATCAAAAAACCAAAAAACATACCACATGTAATACCAAAAAATGCACAAAAAATTGCCAATAATTTATAAGTTGTAGCCACTGTATTCGAAATAATAACTATTCCACAAAATGTAACCGAAATAGTATATAACCAAAGACGATTAACAAATGAATGATCCGAAATATAACCAAAAACTAAACGACTAATTGTACTAAACAAGCCGATAATTGATGTAAAAAATCCAGTTTCTTGTGGCGATCCAATACGATTATCAACAATCCAATCTTTCAAAAATATAAATGGTATATGATAACCAATACTTGTTAAAAAATTTGACACTGAAAATATTAGAAAAATTTCATTACGCATCAAACTTAAATCGATCATTTCGCAAAAATTTTCTTTGATTTCATCAGGAAAATTGAATTTTTTAAATAGATAACAATCACTATTTGTTTTATGTTTATTTATGCGTTCCATACGATAATGATTATTGTTGCTGGTGCTGTTACTAAATTTTCCATCCGATTTATTATTGTTGATATTCATTAAACTACCACTATAAAATGAATCTTCACGATATAAAAATCCCGGTGTAAATGAATATGAACGTTGTTTGACAATAAAATCATCATTATCATTATTCAATGATTCTTCGCCCGTTGTAGATTTTTGTGTATGAATTTCCATTGAACTTTGTTGTTGTTGTAGTGATTTTGAATTTTCCAAACAAATCAACATTGATTCATTGTTTAATTCAATTTGATTATCATTATCATCATCATCATTCGTAATCCGATTCGAATGTTGGTTACTATTCGATGTTTGAATAGTATCGATAGTTGTTGAAATATCGATTGGTGGTATCGATGATGATGACGGTGTTAATGTTAATGGTACCGGTTTAAATAATGCACCAAAAATTGTACAATTTATTAATAATGCTGAAATGATTAACATAGCACCTTTCCATCCATAAAGATTGATAATATATTCAATCAATGGACTCATTATAGCCGTACCGATTCCTGAACCACAAACAGCAATTCCAGTGGCGAATGCACGTCTTTTTTCAAAATATGATGTTACACTATTCAAGGTGGTGGTAGTCAATTCAAATTCATTAATAATGGTAGTTGCTCAATCAATCAAAAAAAAATCCAAGAAAAAAACTTACATAACAATTGCCGGTAAATACCTGTAAAATCAAAGAAAAAAAAAATAGGATTTTGGAACATTTTTTTGTTTGTTTGAGGAATACGAAAGAGATGTTGGTTTTTAAAGAAAAATATATTCTTTTCAATATCTTACATTAATCCAAAACCAAATCCAGCACAGATACCGATCGTTCCATATAATGTAAATATATTCGTTGCAAATGTACTGAGAAAAAATCCTAAACTAGCAAATATTGCACCAACAATCGTTACAATACGACAACCAAATTTGATGGTTAAAGCGCTTGCAATCGGTCCTGTTTCGATTTGAAAAATTTTGATTTTAACGATTTAAAGCTTTTCAAAAGAAACCACTTACCAATACAATATGTTGTACCATTCATAATGGAAACAACCATCGATGTTGCTGTTTTACTTTCACCAAAATGTTTATCCAATTCATAATAAAATAAACCAAAACTATAGATAATACCATCAGCAATAACATGTAACATGAATGAACCGAATACAACCAACCAACCCCAACCACCATCCGGTGGACATGGTTGATATGAACGACCCGATCGAACGTTTTTAACAGCCATTTTTTTCAATTGGATTTTATTCGATTTTTTCTGGTTTTTTTTCAGTTTTGTTTTGGTCAACGATAATCTTCAATGGTTAAATGTTTATCGTTAACATTTTCAAATTGACAAAAAGAAAAATTGTTTCCAATGTCGACGATAATGATGATCGTTTCGATTGATCAATAAAGATCACTGATAAAGATAGAAGAAGAAAAACAAGTTAATGACGATGATGATGATGATTGGTGCAAAACTCAATGAAATGAAAAACAAATTCTCAATAATAACAGTAAATCATTCTTGATGATTGGTGATGAGGATTATGATGAAATTTTCTGGTTTCATTTCTTCTTAGCAACAACAACAACAACGATAATGAATGAATATTATTATTGAAGAACTGGTAATAATGATGATCATATGAAAATTACCATCATCATCATCATCATTTGACTTTAATGTTTTGTCAAAAAATATATAATCACATTACACACAGTGAATGTTTTTGTTTTTGTTTTTCGTTATTTTGCATTCATAACAAAAACAACGACGACGACGAACGAACGAACGAACGAACGATTCACTATTGTCAACTATTGAACAAACAAGATTTCATCAAACAAAAATTATTATTATTGTCATCATTAGGGTTGAAAAAAAATGGTTTCAAAGAGCAAATATTCACACGAATTTAATGTTTTGAAAAATTTTGTTGGCACTATTTTATTCAACATCACATTTTAATTTCATTTTTTTTTCTTTCAAATATAGACAAAACGCATTACGTCACACAATCATTCATTCATTTCATTCTGTGGATGTGGGAAAAGAATATCTAAAAAATTAAACCCCTTTCAACAAAAGAATCTTATTGTAATCATTGAAGTATGGCAAGAAAAAACAATGTAAATGAATTTCAAAGGGAATAAGAATTTTTTTGCTCAGAAAAATATCGACATAATCATTATCAAATCAAATCACAAAATTCTTATGCAACATTTACAACAAAATTGGCATCAAAATACTATGACTCTATTGTGTATTTATTGTAAAAACGTCTATCGTAAATATTATTAATAATAATGACTATTCTACAATTACACTATTCGTAATTATTTTTGGCATCGAATAACACACACACTCAAACACTCGAAGATAATTAATGATTATGAAAAAAAACAATCAAAAAGTAATTATTAATTTTTTTTCGTAATGTAAAATATATGTGAACATTGTATATTGTATATGTGGGAACAAACAAACAAACAAACAAAAAAAACCCCTATGAAACAACTCAAACTCGGGCAAATGTGGGTAAAGAATTTGATTTCATTGCGAAGTAAAAAATAGAAATAATAATAAAATCTTTTTTCAATTTTTATATAGACCATCATCATCATCATCATCATCAAACAACAACATCATTATGGAAAAAAAATATAGAAAAAAGAGATTAACTCTCTTGCCACACAATGGTAAACAAGGGAAAAAATGATAACAACAGAATTTGCGCATGAATTCAACAGAATATTCTTGTTCTTTACTATTACCATTTTGGTTATATAATGGCTGTGTTTTTTCTGGTAAAGAATATTACCACCACCACCATTATTCTTCTTTGGAATGGATGACATTTCATTCTTGCTTAATGGACAAAAAAAATCCAAACTGTAAATATTGAATTGTTTTATCCGATTATGACGATACTTATGATGATGATGATGATGATTAAGATCATCATTGATCAATATTTACTGTTTGGGATTTTTGTTTTGTTTTGTTTATTTTACCCAAGTAAAACAAGCACTTGAAACAAAAAAAAAAGATCAATATTGAATTAACATTTGATCTTTTTTCCCTGAATGAAAGAATCAATCATTTTTTTCACAAAAAAAAAAGATTTTATTTTCAAAATAACAACAAAAAAGATTTTTTTTCATATAAAAAGGTAATTGGGAAATTTTTTTTCAAGGGAAAATCATTATTATATTAGATTTTGGTCGTTGAATTTGTTTCTATTATTCCAATTGTAATAGAATCTGTTCACCTTCAACAGTATCATTAATTTTACAATTAATTTTCTTAACAATACCATTCGATTCAGCAATCATACTGTTTTGCATTTTCATTGCTTCAATTACACATAATTCTTGTCCTTCATTTACCTGTGGTTTAATTAGAAAGAAAAAATATGAAAATGAAAATGAATAAAAGTTTTCAATTGAATACACATACCTCATCGCCAACATTAACGGCAATCGATTTAACAACACCAGGCATAGGTGATTTAATAATTTTTCTTGCATCAATCTTTGGTTTTGGTGGAATAATTTGTAAATAATTATAGGCTTTTTCACTCATAACACGAATGTTGAACTGGAATTCAAAAGAGGAAAAAACATAAAGTTAATTTGAAAGAATTTCATTTCATTTTCCTTGACTTACAATTGTTCCTTCAAATTGAATCTGACAATAACCATCATGATTAACCGAAATCAATTGTACGGTATAGATTTTCTTATCAATTTGAAAATCTAATGTTAATTTTGCTAATGAAAAATTTGATGGAAATTCAGCAATCAATTCATTATCAATATAAATTTTAAATTGATTTGTTAATTCATTAAATTCAACATCAGTTTTTATAACTTTTTGTTGTTGATCATCATTTTGTTGGATATTTAAATTTTCACTCAAATCAACAAATAATGTATGTTTTTTAATCGAATCTTCATCCAATGGAATAGTATCATTTTCAACATAATGTTTTGAACGATAAAATTTTCGTAAAAATATCGATACTGCAATCGATGTTAAATCACGAATACGTTCATCATTCATTTGTCGTCCTTTAAAACCATCCGGATATATTCGTGGTAAATATTTCGTATCAATATGGCCATCAACAAAATTTGGTTCGGTTATTATATCACGTAATAATGGAATATTATGTATTAAACCACGTATAACATAATTATCTAATGATTTGGCCATTGTTGATAATGCTTCCTTACGATCATTGCCATATGTTATTAATTTACAAATTAATGGATCATAATAGATATTTATATCACTACCCTCAATTACACCACTATCACATCGAACATTATTCGAATCGATAAATGTTGGTTCACAATAACGTGTTAATCGACCAATTGATGGCAGGCCAAAATTTTTATATGGATTTTCAGCATAAACACGTGATTCAATTGCCCAACCACGTAATTGAACATCTTCCTGTCGATGTCTTAGTTTATGTCCTTTAGCAACACGTAACATATGATGTACAATATCAATGCCACAAATATATTCGGTTATTGGATGTTCCACTTGCAGTCGGGTATTCATTTCAAGAAAATAGAAATTTTTATTTTTATCAACCAAAAATTCAACCGTACCGGCTGAATCATAACCAACATTTTTAGCTAATGCTATTGCCTGTTCACCCATTGCTTTTCGAAGTTCCGGATCAACAAATGTACTTGGTGCTTCTTCAATCACCTTCTGATTTCGACGTTGAATTGAACATTCACGTTCATTCAGATAAATCCCGTTTCCATGTTTATCACATAAAACTTGTATTTCAATATGTCTTGGTTCTTCGATAAATTTTTCAATCAATAAACGATCATCATTAAAACTAGACATGGCTTCATTTTTGGAAAAACGAAAACCTTCGAATGCTTCTTGATCATTATAAGCCATACGCATTCCCTTTCCGCCACCACCAGCCGAAGCTTTTATCATTACTGGATAACCAATTTCCCGTGCTAATTGAACACAATGTTCAGCATCTTTAATAACACCTTCGAAACCAGGTATCGTATTTACTTTTGCTTTATTAGCAATTAATTTACTTTCAATTTTATCACCCATTGCATGTACTGAATGTGAATTTGGTCCTACAAATACAATACCCATATCGGATAATTTTTGTGCAAAATCAGTGTTTTCCGACAAAAATCCATAACCAGGATGAACAGCTTCGGCACCACTTTTCCGTATGACATCTAAAATGACATCAACATTTAGATAACTTTGTCCGGATGGTGCTGGACCAACACAATATGCTTCATCAGCATGTTGAACATGAAGTGCACGAGAATCAATTTCACTATAAATAGCAACGGTTTTTATTCCCATCGATTTACATGTTCGAATCACTCGACAGGCTATTTCACCACGATTAGCAATCAAAACTTTATTGAATCGCTTTTCACCGGGAGGAAAAAATGAATTGTTTTTGGAATTTTTGAAAACTTTCTTAACAAACTAAAAACCTTACCTCTTCATTTGGATCAAATTTATCGGCAAAATATAATGATTTTGTGGAAAATTTTCTTGAAAATATTAATCTTTTTACATTCTATATAAACCAACAACAGGATTTATTTAATTTTACAGCAAAAAAAAAGTTACAAAGATTCTTACATTATAAATTAAATGATTAAAAAATTGACGAGTATTTAGAAGGATCATTTTTTTCTTTTTGGTTATTCGGTTCCCTGATTATTATTATTAACAATTTTAAAATCAATCAATCAATTACTCATCGATTTTGTTGTTTGACATTGGCTATGAACGAAAAAAAAAATTCCTGATCAACAAAATTTGAATTAATAGAATGAATATTCGACCAATACACATTTCAATAAGCAATAATTTTGTTGTTGTTGCTGTTGATTGAGCCATGTCGATACAACAAGAAACGAAGAAGAAGAAAACGCTTATCGGTTAATAAAATGATGATGATGATGATAATCGAATCTAAACGAAATGAATGTAGCGAATCTAACTTAATCTTTCTTTTTCATTCATTCATTCAATAAACGTTTTCCCCAAATTGACATTGACTATACCACACACACGCACACACACACATTTTAAAAAAAAAGATAAGTTTGAAACTAGAACTTGTTTGAAGATGAACGAATGATTAAATGGATACAACAACACTCACATCACACATCATCATCGAACAAATCGAACGCAAACTTGACAAGCAAACACACACCCCACGCACCTAAAAAAATCGACATTTGAAAAAAGTTAATCGCAATCAAAAAAGTTATCACAATTTATTCATTCATCTTGAAGATAAACAAAAAAAAGTCAACATAATTTTCTGTTTGTTTGCTTTAAGTTAATTTCGAAAAAATTATCAATTTTTTTGATGAAATTCTGTTATCATTTTGTTGTTTGGAATTATTGATTTTAGCAAATTTCCATTGACAAAATTCTTGTGAAATATTTAATTTTTCAAATATCGATTTCGAAATATTCGGCACGATTGGATTCAATAATATTGCTGAAATACGTATTGATTCTAATGATAAAAACAACAGACATTTTAAACGTTTTTGATTCAAATCATTATCATTATCATTGTGGGGATGTTTTTGAACAAATTTCCATGGTTGTATCAAATTGAATAAACCGTTTATCGAACGTAAACATTGCATAACGTTTGTTATTCCAATATGAAAATTTCCATCCAAATATGATTCAAAACATTCATTGGATAATGTTTCTATAAAATTAATTGTATCTAAACTTTCGGGTAGATATTCTTGGATTTCATCCAAAGAAACGAATGGATATGATTGCTTGGGATTTAATTTTTCCGATGTACATCTATTCAACAGATTACCAAATGTATCGGCTAATTCAGCATTTAAACATGTTTTTACTGCATCTAAATTGAAATCTTTGAACGTGGAAAAACAGAAAAATTAATTATGATAAAAAAAATTAATTACTTTTATCAATCGCTTTGATAAGCGATATCAACTGAAAAAAAGCATACATACTTGAATCTGAATGTGGTGTTCCTTCTTTCAACAGAAAATATCGTATACCATCAGCTGTAAATTGTTCAATACATTCGAATGGATCAACAACATTACCTAAACTTTTAGACATTTTTTGTCGATCATAAAGCCAATGTGAATGACAATAAATACGTTCAGGCAGTGGTAATTCAGCTGCCAATAAAAATGCTGGCCAATAAATACAATGAAATTTTATTATATCTTTACCAATTACATGACATGGTGGCCATATTACCGGTTGTTTGTTTGGATAACCGGTAACAGTAAGATAATTTGCTAGTGCATCAAACCAAACATAAATCAATTGTGAATCGTCGCCGGGAACTTCAATACCCCATTGTAAACGTGTTTTAGATCTTGATATTGATAAATCTTTAAAATTTTTTATATTCCGTATATCAGCTTTAAGTGATTGATGATAATTTTCTGGTTTCATTATCAAATGATTATCAATCCAATCGATTACTCGTTCTTGTAGCTGTGATAAACGAAAAACATAATTTTCTTCTTCATACCATTCTAATTTATGTCCACTTTCAATGGATATTTTTTCACCATTCGAATTGGTTGTAATAAGATTATCCGGTACAAATGTTTCATCATTCACAGAATAATAACCACAATATTTTGATTTATAAATAAATCCTTTATCCATAAGGATTTTCCATAAATTTTGTACTACTTTTTTATGTTGATCATCGGTAGTTCGAATGAAATGTGTATACGATGTTTCAGCATCATTGAATAATTGACGAAATTTCGATGATATTTGATTACAATATTCGATGAGATTGATATTTTTTGATTGAGCAGATTTTTGTATCTATTTTTTTTGATTGTCAAACAGAAAAAGAAACTTGAACAAACAAATTTCCATTGATCAAATTACCTTAAGACCATGTTCATCGGTACCGGTAGAAAAAATTGTTGTTGTCACATCATTATTTGGCAAACATAATCGTGTAAAACGATGTAATGCATCAGCATAAACTGTTGTATAAAGATGACCAATATGTGGTACTAACCGAAAATCATCAAATCAAATCATGTATTAACTTGTTGAAAATCACTGAAATCGGCTTACCCGAATTAACATAGAAAATAGGTGTAGCATAAAATTTGGGCAATTCTTTCGAACTAAAATATCTTATTGGTGACTGTGATGATGATCGTAAACAATTCGCTAGAACGAAACGACATGATAAAATTATTTTCATTTTAATTTAAATTTTTCTAAAAAATAAATTTTTTTTTCACAAATTAACCGGGCGGTCAGGTTTGCAAAAATTTAAACAAAGTTTATACGTTGCACATGTTTTACAAAAAAAATAGAAAAACCTGTAACGTATGAAAAAAATCACAAAAATTGCTCTTTTCAAAAATTTTTTTTATATAACAAAATGGCGCCATAAAAAAATGATAACATTAAGTTTTTTCAACGAAATAGAGAGATTACCAATCAAAAAAAAAAAATTTTTGGTATCAAAATAAAGAAGAAAAATTTTTGTTTTTTTTTTTCATAAACATTAATAGAAAATTTCGGTGTGTAATTATTTTAACAAATGTTTTNTTAACCGGGCGGTCAGGTTTGCATATGAAAAAAAATTTAAACAAAGTTTATACGTTGCCCATTTTTTAAAAAAAAAAAAAAAAATAGAAAAACCTGTAATGTATGAAAAAAATCACAAAAATTTTTTTTTTCAAAATTTTTTTTTTTATATAACAAAATGGCGCCATAAAAATTTGGTATCAAAATAAAGAAAAATTTTCGTTTTTTTTTCATAAACATTAATAGAAAATTTCGGTGTGTAATTATTTTAACAAATGTTTTGTTTTTTTGTTGAAAAAATGAAAAACAGATTAAGAATTGTGTATGTGTGTGTGTGTGAGAGAGGCAATGTGGATTGAATTGAAATGAAAAACAAGTTCGATAGATAAAGAGCCAACGAAAACAATTTTTGATTTTTTTTTGTTGAGATCAACCAGACGACGATATATCCATTTGTTCAATTCCATCGGATAATTGATTTTCATCCGTTAAATTTTCTTTTGTTTGTTGTTCGGATTGATCGGGATTTTTATCATCATCATTATCATCAACAACATTTTCAACATTGTCATTCGATTCAGCATCTGCATCATCGAATGCTTGATGTTGAAAATATGATTCAACTTCGTTCAATAAATTTACAGTTTCGATGCTTAATGGTAATGATGTCGATGTCGAAGTTGTGGGTGTTGATGATAATGATGGCCATTTCATATTAAAATCACAATCATTATTATTTTTCAATGATGATGATTCATTTGTAAATGTTTTCATATTTTTTATCACTTGAAATAATTGTTGTTTTAAAGGATTTTCATTCAAAATCCGAACAATATTTGTTGAATGTTTCAATAGGTAGGATAATAGTTCTAAACATTGATAGACTTTTTTCTCAAAATTTAACGAATGTTTTGTTGTCAACATTGATAGTAAACATTTTGATCGGTTATTATCATAATATGAATGTGATTTTTCAGCTAGATGATTTTTGGGAACAGAAAAATTTTTAGTTGAATGAAAACAATTTCGATCAAAAAGAAACTTACCTAAATGATCACCAAATATGGCAACTTGTATACGATAATGTTGAATAGAATCTTCCAATAATAATAAATCACGTAAAAGATAAAAATATGGTTCCAATTCATATGTTGTATATGAATTATTCAATTGTAAAAGTAGCTCATCCAATATTTGTAATGAAAATAATTGATTTTCCCATGAACAAAATTTCAATAATAATAAATTTTCATTCAATGAAATTGCTTCATTAAGTATATGTTTTATATAGGATTTTTGTTGATATAATTTTTCATATAAATCTTTAGGCATTTCCATTATATAATGATCATTATCTTGTTGTTGATGATTACCATCAACAACATTGACAACAACATCGATATTATTATCATCATATTGAAAAGGATTCGATAGTGGTTGATAGGTTTCTGATTCAGAAAATTGCGAACAAATAATCATACGTGGATCACAACTACGTACAAGATAACTAACCACCTGATATAAACGATTATCAATTGTTTGTGTTGATTTTGTTATGGAAAAATTTCTATCATTTACAAATGTTATAAACAATGATGGTGTTGATAATAATAATAAATGTTTTCGTTGTTCAATACCCAAAATAGCGTATGAATAAATTAGATGAAAATATTGTGTTGATTGTCGAGAACAATCAACAAAATCTTTTTGTATAAATGATAATAATATCGACATTATTTCATTGACAAATGGATTTATTGTTGATTCGGTTATGGTGGTTGTTGTATCTTCTTGTTGTTGTGGTTTTTGTTGATCCAATATTGAATAACGTATTAAAAATATAATCAATTTTTCAAATGCAATACGTACATCCAATGATGGACATTGAAGAAGAAATTCATTCAATAATTTATTTGCATTCAACATTAAATGATTAGCAATAAACCATGAACGTATTGATGAATTATGTTGCAGATATGGTATCAATGATTCATACCAATCATGTGCATTAAATCTTAATGATTTTTTTGCTTTAAAACCAAATCGTATTAGAAATTTTGCAGCCATATTTAATGTTTCCATTATGATTCGATTCAATTTTTCCGTTGGAATTGTGGAAAAATTTAAATTTTTTCGATTACAATCGATTAATATTTTGATAAAATGATAAAATTCTTCACTAAATAATGTTCGTTGATGAATAAACAATGTATTTTGATGTTGTACATTTTTGGTTATTGCCAAAGGTATTTTTGCCGGATTTATTACTGATTTCGGTTGCTGTTGTTTTTGATTATCAATTTTTCGATAAACCAATATGAATGCATTCCACCAACGTTTCTGTAAACGTTGTAATGATTTTTTCATTAATTGATCATAATATTCGGACATATATTCACCACCAAAACATTGATTACGCATTTCATCATCTTGATCCAATTTACATTCACTAACATCAGTATCATCAAATTTATACCATTTTTTCTGTAAACAATTGTCATTCGATGATTCTGTTTGATGTAATATATATGAATAATAATGACCACCACTTGCCTGGCCACTATGTACAACAATCCCATTCAATTCATATTCGGTTGATAAATTTTGTTCTTGATTATTTAAATCATCTTCTTCAATAATTTCACCTTCTTTCCGTGCTAAACCATTAACCGTATATGGTTCCATATTTAATAATCTTGGAAATTCAAAATAATCATTAAATTTTATCGATACATCACGATCAAAATCATAACCAAATCTTTTCAATTGTATAACCAAAATTTTTGGTAAACGTTTTATACATAAACGTTTTACTGTATTAACTTTACGATCACATTTTTCACAATGATATGCATTATCACCTTCCAACAAATCACCATGTACATATTGTTCTAATGAATCATTTAATGTATGATGATTTCTAACATCAACATTTAATGTTGTAAATGGTTCTTCACGAAAATATCTATGCGGACAATCTTTACAGATTTTTTGATCAGAAAATGAACCACCAAATATCGGTGTCATAATTGATGGTTGTTTTAATGCTTTCATTGCTTCATCAAGTATATCGAATAAACCGTTAAAAAATTCTAATGCATCTTGTTGTTCTTTCAGATGCATTTTACCGCCAAATAATCTAATTTCAAATTGAAAAAATTAACCAAAAAAATCAAATCAAAAACAACAAACATACTTGAAATGTTCCCAAAATCCTTTCGGTACATAATATTGTGCCTGACTTGACAATAAATGGCCAAATATAATTTGTATTTGTTGAAATATTTCAATATTATATGCTTTCACTTGTTGTTCTTCTTCTTGTTGATTGGTTGTTGTTGTTATTGTCGAATTATTTTCCATATTATTATTGATTGGTCCGATAAGAAAATTATCCAAATTATCATTATTATTATTATTATCATAAAAATGATAAGGATAATCAATTTTCACAGATAATATTCCATTACGAACTTCGGGTATCATGAAAAGCTATGTTTTAGAAAAACAAAAACAAAAAATTATTCAGATTCAAAATATAACCACAGAAAAGAAGACAAACCTGTTGCAACACTGAATTCATATAACAAGTAGCACCAGCATTTTTTAGACCAACAAAACCATTTTCTGGCCGCATAGCTATATTTGGAAAATAATCCCATGATGTAATGACCATTGTATTTAGATATGATTCTAAATTTCGACAAATAAATTCTAAATTTTCCAGACAACCATCACAAAATGCAGCTAATAATTCATATGCAGCAATCATTGATTGTGACCCCGAACAAACTGGATAAATATCAGCAATAAAAATATCAGAATTTTGTCGAAAAAGGCACAATGATTTTGAGGCAGTAAACAAATATTGATCCAATAAACGATTGACTAAACCAAATTGTTCGGATGATACATCTCGATCACCTAAACCAATTTTACATTTGGATTCCAATGAAAGAAATTTTGATACCAATACTTTTGTTATGGATAAATGTCCTTCCAGTAGAATTTCCTGATAATGGCCATCGATATAGAAATTTTCCTGTTTTTTAGTGGAAAAAAAATTACAAAAACAAATTACAAAAACAAAAAAAAACTTACCTTCGGACAGCTTAATAAATTATATTCATATTCAATGAATTTATTAATAAGGATTAATAATGATTGCTGCGGTTGTTGTTGTTGTTGTTGAAACGAATCAAAAATAATCTCTAATAATTGACAACAAAATTGAAAAAATTGTCTGGATGTTTGATAAAATTCGAGCAAATATGTTTGTAAATAATTAAAAATCAATTCCAATATAAATGAACCGATATTTATCGATGATGATGATGATGAATTAATTGATAAATTAATCAAAATTATAAATGAAAATTGTTCGGCCATTGTTATACGTATTGTTTCAATCGGTTGAATCAATAAAAGATCGATAAAAAATCTTCGTAAACAAATTGATTTTGATAAAAAATTTGAATATTTCGGTTCCAATAATAACATTAATGTTATTGTTTCCAATGATAATTGACATACATCAAACATCATTTCATTTGAATAATTATCATTATCATTCGCATTGGAATTCTTCATTTCAATAAAATATTCATGTAAATCATCATATGTTTTTTGTTGATTATTATCATTCAATAATTGATTTATTTGTTGTTGATTACCAGTTGCCATAAACCATGCAATACGTATTAATGCATAAATTTGTTCATTTTCAGGTATAAATTGTTTCGTAATTGAATCATTAGATTCTTTATAAAGAATTATTGCCGTAATATTGGCTAAATTTTTCAATAGATAATCTTCACAATTATAACGTAAAATTTCACGTAATTTATCCGATAATAATCCTTCGGAATATTCTTTTAAAAAACAATATGTTAATAGAGTAAATTTACTTATCTTTAGGATTAGATATAAAGCACGTCTATGAAAAACAGAAAATTAGTAATTTCTTAACGAAATAATTTACTTACATTTGATAATAATTATCCAATGTTTCAAGAAATTTTTTATCATTTAAAAAGCTCAAAATCCGAAGACAATAACCAGATTTGATGAATGATTTTTGAAATTCAATAGATTCTTGATAAATTATTTGATCATTAACGGGCATAATCAAAGTGAATATAATTTCCAACAGATAAATAGTTTTGGTTGGTGATGAAAGTAATTCCTGTTCAAATGATGATGATGATTCCAACGGATTTTCCTGATGATTAATAAATGAATCGATAATCATTTTTCTAAAAAATTTATCCGGTGGCATTAATTGTAAAATTTCTAAACATTTTTTTCTTATATCATCATTATCATTTTTCAATAACATTGCTAAATCCGATATTTGGAATAGGAAATTTATAAAATGACAATTTTCCGACATAATCTACAATGATGGTGGGTAAGTGAAAGTTTTTCAATGAAAATTCATTAACAAAGAAAAGAAACTTACCACACCGGGTAATGATTGTTCAATTTTTTCATCAACCATATCTGGTTTATAAAATTTTTGAAATGATTGATTAGAAAATTCCAAATCTGATCGCCAATCAATAGTGTTTGGTTCTTGTGATACTTTTACCGATAAACACTATATTCGAAAAACAATGAAAAAAAGAAATTTCAAAAGTTTGAAAAAAAGCTTCAAACAGAAAAAAAAACTTACAAATCGTTTTTCCATTGTTAGATCGGAAACTTTTTTCAATTCCGATATATCTTCTTTTTCAAATGGTTCAGCTATTTTAACCTTGATATTCGAATCATTATTCATATTGCATCTATTTCAACCAATTCAAATCAATAGAAAATCAATCACAAAATCGAATCAATCACAAAACTTACTTTTCTAAAATTTTATCTCTTATCACCGTTATTGATTCATTTGTATGTGTTTGCAATACTAATTCATCCAAATTATTATTAAAAGTTTGAATGGAAATTTTTACAATTAATTCCACCGATTTTCCACGTATCAATTCTGATAATGATAATTTTGTACGTTTTATTCGAAAATTTTTATAACTTTTCCGAATAAATTCACATAGTACTGATAATATTCGCAGCATTTTTGTTAATTCTTGTTTGATTTTTAATTTTTGATTATCATCACCGGCTATAATGGTTACCGTATCATAACTACATTTCAATTGATCAAAACAAACATTAAGGAAATCTTGATTCAACACCATCCGAGATTCAATTAATTTTGGTCCAAGATTGGTGAAAAAATATTCAATCAATTCGATTGCTTTTCTGGCAGCTAATTGATCACGACTAAACAATATCAGTTTCCATAAATAATCCAAACCGATTAGATCACAATCATTTGTTTGATGACTATTATCATTCAGATGAATCAATTTTTCATGTTGACAATTGATAGTAATGAAAAATTTTTCAAAACATTCAACACCATAAATATCGATTAATTCGGGATTAAATTTGGACAGATTTTTTTGTAAAAATTCTAAAAAATTTTCTAGATATTCATCTTCATTATTGACATTATCTCCATCACCGTTACCATCATCATCGTTTTGATTTGTTGGATAAAAATACAGATCCATTAATGATGAAAACCATTGAAAACAAAATTGACGATCACATGCAAAACTAGCATCAATAGCTAAACAATTCCACAATTCTTGTGCCAATTCTATCGGTAGAAAACATTTACTTTGTTGAATAATAAAACGTAAAAATCCTAAACGTTCATAAATTTCTTGACAATGTGAAAATCTTCTACCGATCAATATTTGATTTGGATCATCATCATCATCATTACCATTGTCGATCGTCGATGTTGATTTCTTCCATTTCATATAATTTGATAAATTTTTTATCAACATTTTTAAAAAATTCAATTCCAAATTCATTTGGTTAATGATGAATTGTCGTGTTTCACGTTTGAAACGTTGTTGTTGTTGATTTTGGTCACAATTATCATTTTGATTTTGATACAGATATTGTTTGGAATTATTTTCCGGAAAAAGCAATAGAATTTCTTTGATATGTTTCATTGATGTTAAAACATTATTTCCATAATCAGAATTCTGTATTTCCATTATACAACGTTTAATCCACAAAAAACGTTGACTATCTTTTTCAAATGTTTTACTATAATCAAGTATTTTTAAATGTGAACAAATTGCTTGATCAACAATTTCAACATCAATTTCCGAATGATTATATGCAATATTCCATAATAATATTAACATTTTATTTGCCATTGAACCATATTTATCATCTTCAGCTAATCGTCGCATTAATTGTAATAATTTTTCACGTTCTTTTTTCACTACAATCGACCAGCTTGATTGAAATAGACTGAATAAATGATCCAATTGTTTGGGGGAAAAATGCCATGCCAGTTTAGCAATTAATTCATGTATATTTTTAACGATAATTTCATGTTTGCCTAGCTGTGAATTCCAAATATGATCCAAATAATCCAATGTTAGTTGATTTTCTTTCAATAAAAATCGAAATATTTGATCCAATTTTTCAACATATTGTGTATGATGAAGGCAATCATTCAGTACAATATCGACAACATTATTATCACATAACCATTTGGCCAATTCATTTGATGTTAATGCTAATGTTTCATTCGTAGTTGATGGATTCATCTTTGAATAATTATTATTATTATTATCATCATCCAAAATATAATTGGAAATAATTTTGTTCAATTCATTTAATGAATTCATTTTTCCACTAAATGATGATAATTGCAATGTTCGAAGGGTAAATTTTAGCCGTAAATAATCAAATGATTTTATCATCATCGTTGTTGATACTGGTGTTGTTGACGATAATTTTTCAAGAAAATTTTTACATTTTTTCAAAATTGATCCAAACAAATCAGCATTATTATTTGCATTAATCTTTGTTTCCGTGGATGTTTTAAGCTCATTTTTAAATTCATCATCCGTTAATTGATTAAAATAATGTAAAATTCGTTCGAAAATTTTTAAAAAATATGATTCCAATGTATAATTGGATAGAAAATCTAAACAATTTTCAAACGGTTGTAGATAGATATAGATCAGATATGATGACAATGATGAATTATCACAACGATTAACAACGAATAATGATAATAAACATTCGAAACCATTCAAATGGCCAAAATATTCAATCAATATGATTAATAATGAATTCTTTAAATGTTGTTGTTGTTGTTCATTTGTTATCATTGTAAATGAATCTAGTTGATTTTGTAAAGGCAAATACATTTTCCGTAACTGTTCATTACAATTGACAAATGCAAATCTATTCGATGTTGAAAAGATTTGTGATAATAATTCAAATAATTTTGTTGTTGTTGTTGTTGATGTTGATGATTGTTGTTGTTGTTGATTCAGGCACATTATTATCAATTTTATCAATTTAAAATGAATATTTATCATTTTGGTTGCCTAATATTTTAAACAAAAAGAAAGAAAAACATTATAAAAAATTTATAAAAAAAACAAAAACAAACATACGAATAAATCATTATCCATGAATGAATTGGAACTATCCAGGAAAAATTTCTTATAAATAAAAGGAATTGTTTCCTGAATAAAATTCCAACATGATGTTTTAGTATCGCCCGTTTGTAATAAATTATCGTTGTTGTCAATGACAAAATCTAATTGTTGTTCAAATTTTTCATATGGTAATATTGTTGTAGATAATAATGATAATGATGATGACCATATTTCAATTGAGCAAAATTTTTCAAAATTATTTTCATTTGAAATTGATTTTTCCAATAAATTTTGATCATTGGAAATCATCGATGGCGACGACGACGACTTTGGTGATCTATCACCATTAATTTCATCAACATTTTTACATAGATCATCAAATTTTAGGATAATTTTTGAATTATCTTCGTTTATTGTTGTTGGCTGTGTTGTTTTTGTTGTCAGTTTTATCGATTGTTGCTGTTCTTGACTAGAATTTTCACTCATTACAATTTTACGTTGAGCAATTGCTGCCGCCGAAATTGACTTATTATTATCAATTTGGGTTCTAAATTCACATTGTTGTTGTTCGGTTTCAAATTGCATTGTTGTTTCATCATGATTCGAATTCGAATCTTTATTTTCAGCTGTTGATTGATTACTGGTGGTGATGGTGGTGGTGATGATGGTTGAATCATTATTTTCCGATAATCGATTATTATCATCGATATTATTATTATCTGAATCCGGTTTTATTATTTGCATCTGGGGTTCGATTGGTGGTTGTTTCAAGTTCAAAAAAAATCGAAATCAAAATTCTGCAAAGAAACAAAAAGAAAAAATATCGATTAGATTGATGACGATCATCAAAACACAAAAAAAAGTTGGGTGTATCAATCAATCGCAAATCACAAGTCACAAATTGCACACTTGAAAAGCCAAAATCTAAATTTCCAAGGAAAATTTTTTGTTTTTTGAGTAAAATTTTACACACACACAAAATGAGCGATGATGAAACTCTAGAAAAATTCGAAAAAAAGAAATTGGTCTATACAGGAGGAAAAAAAGGTCAGAAAAACGGGGGAAAATGGATTTAAACTTTTTCGAATTAGAAAAACTTGCATTTTTGTTTTGGTTTTCGTTTTCGTCAAAGACGAATGATTTTTGCGATGGAAACAGAAAATCGATTATCACCTTTTGTTTTGAATGGGGAGATTATAACACAGATTGTTATCGTTGTAGTTTTTTTGGTTGCAAAAAAGATTTACAAAAAAAAAATTATAAAAAATTTTTCTTTAAAAAGATTTTAACGGAGAAAAAAAAAAGAGAGAAAGAAAAAAAACGCATCAAAAATCGAAGAATCGTTCGGTGTTTTTGTTTTTGTTGTTATGAATACAGTGGATACACACACACACATCATGTATATATTTTGGGAAAATGTGGGCGGTCCGAAAGAATCTTGCATCCAAACCTTGAGATATACAATATTATTCTCCGCCCATTTTACGAACAGTATCCAAAAAAAAATAATGAATAATGTACAGGGTGATGTATCGAGAATGTTTCCATTTTGGATCGATAGATGTCCCTATTGGATTTATCAATTTTTTATTTTCCCGGTTTTTTTGTTTTGTTGTTTTTCCTGTTGAAAAAAAATTGTTTTTGTTTGTTTAAAATATGTGCAGGTGTTTTCAAAATGACCTGATCAAATCCAAATGACTAAATTAATTGATAAAAGTGCAAAATAATTGACCTGAACACACAATCAATCAACAGTCAAAAGTCAATTGGAATTTCTTGAAAGTCAATTCGAAGAAATGATACTACTGCAGGTACGGTATGTGCACACCTTTCAAAGTAAATAATGAAAAAAAAGGCGAAAGAAAAAATGTTACACCTGCATCGACGGTCAATGGAATGATTGAAATAATTGTTCTGTTTTTTTTTGGTTTTGGTGACGAACAATACACAATTTGGTATGTTTATTTAAGTTTTTTTTTCTCTCCTTTGCTTGATTTTGCCTATCAAAAGTGTCCGAAAACTGAATGAATTCCAAATTCCAAATTGACTTTTTTTCAATTTGACAATTTCATTTTGACTTTTTTAAAAATCCCAACTCTTTTATATTGTATTCGAACCCAATATGTGATCAAATTGACAATCAATATTGATCTGATTAGCTTGATCATGATCATCATCAACAACAACAAAATTGATTGGTTTGACATTTATATTAGACCTTTTAGGTAAACAAACAAGCACACAATACATACACCCTGTAAATATATCAATGATCCGATTAGGTTCAAATAGAATCGAATCATTTTTTTTTCGTCAATAAATCATTCGAATCGAATATTTTTATTATTATTAGTTTTTGTTTGTTTACATCGGATAATATAATCTTTTCCACCAATATCGTCTAACAACGACGATAACGATTGAAAAAACCGACAAGTTTTTTTTTTAATATCACCTCCTCCAGAAATGAAAAACCAATATGAAGGAATTTGAACAACGATGGCGACGACAATGACAATCATCATATAATGTAATGTAATCAAAAAAATAACGAAAAACATTATTAGTAACAATCTTTTTTTCTTTCTTCTCATTTTGTTTATTTATTTAGATTATATTGTATTAATTCCAGCAGCAAATTGGTAGCCAAGAAAAGAAAATCCATCAATAAATATTATCAACAACAACAACAACAACAGAAAATCTAATCCAGAAAAAAAACAAAAATTGGTGTGAAAATACAAAGATGTAATCGAAAATAATATTGTTTTCCCTCGAAATCTTTCAAATGAATATTTGATCGAATCACAAAAATCATAATCATTATTATTATTGATTATGAATAATAAGAGATTTTCTTTGGGGGAAGGGGGCAATATAATGATTTTCACATAAAGATTTTCATTTTTTTGTGTGATTTCTTTGGGCTTATTAATTCGAAACATAATCAAAGCAAAAAAATCTTCAAGATTTAATTTTCTCTCTTACAATTTTTATTGATTGATTACGATTCTAACGACAATATGTTTCACTCAATCCCGGGTAATAATGTTCATTTTGGTGTATAATTCTCGAAACTATGATTCTTCATGCAGATTCTGAAATCAAATCAAATCAAATCAAATGGTAAATAAAAATGAATTTTCAAATAAATAAATCTATCATAATAATAATAATAATAATGGCCAAACATTGAACCAAATGAACGAACGAAAAAAAACCATGAACCAGAAACTAAATGAACGAAACGAAACAAATGAAGAAGAAAAGAACATGCTATTTGACACTTATGAGGCTCGATTAAATTGATTAATTACATCGAATGAAAAAAAAAAATACACACATCAAGAGTGAACATATTACAATCAAATATATACGAATATAAATTACCATGGCAAACAACAACAACAACACACATATATGAAAACCTTTTTTACCATCTGTTACGATGATGATGATGATGATGATGATGATCAATATCACCATGTGCTACATACACAATTTTTTTGCTTTATTCGTTTTGGTTTTTCCAATGATTCGTTTTTTTTTTCGTTTTAACCGTGTGCATTATTTGGTTATGAACATTGAATGGAATTCTTGTTTTTCCATCATCATCATCATCATCATCGTAAACATCGATATCGACATCGACAATATTGGTCATCGTCATCATCATCATCATCGACATCAATGAAAACCGAATTTGGATTTATTTTTTTCTGGCAAATAAATCCATTGGTTCGATGCTGACCATCACCGCAACCAAAAAATATAACAAAATTTCTTTTTCTTTTTTTCTCTCTCTGATTTGCTTTTTTTACCCAAAATACACACACACACACACATCACAATCACCGACATCAAGATTGTAACAAATGTTTTTTTTTTCATTTGTAAAATGATTTTCATTTTTATTTATTTTCTTCAAAACATGATTTTTGATTTGATTTTTTTGCCATCAAATCTAATGATGATGATGATGATGAAAAATGTGAAAATCATAATGCCCCATGCACAACATCCATAAGAACATAAAAGTTATGATTATTATTATTTATTAATGATAATCATAATAATCATCATAATTAACAAATTTTTTAATCCGGAAAAAAAAGAATTTTCGGAATGTTCTAAAATAGAATTACGACATTTTTGAATAGTTTGTGTGTGGCATGATAATGATGATTATCATCTTCATCATCATCATCAAATAATGATAAAGATCATCATCAAAGATAATAATGTAATGTAATGTTTTTTAATAATGAACATTGATCATTTTGGCCGAAAATAAATAATCATATCATCAAATTGAATCGAATAATGGCCTCGCATTAATCATTCTTATAGGCAAAGAAATGAAAGAAAGAAGAAATCCTCTAAATAATCATCAGATTTTCGTCATTTCGTAATTCACCAAAATTCATTATGTAGGGATTAAATTTACTTGAATTTTTTTTTTTAATCAAAAAACTTGCAGAAAAAAAAACTTTATTAACATTTTCCTCTCTACGAAAGACTTTCTATAGAAAGAATGATTTAGTGAAGAACCAACGAAAAAAAAATTGATTATGAATTCAATCATTTGATCAATTCCATACCATCAACGAATTCATTATGCAAATGAATTCGTTTTGCAACCAAAAAAGGAAAAACCCCGGTGTTATTTTGAAATATTAGTAAATTCAAAAATACTTGATTGCATTTCAAAAGTTTAATGATTCGATTCCTATATTAAATTTATCCGCATCATCATCAATTGAATTCAATTTTTTTATGAAAGAAAAATTGAAAAAAATGATCAACAACAATCGAATCGAATCGAAATTGACTTGAATTTCTGACTGTTTATATTGATATCATTCGATTTTATTATTGATAAATTTCGGTTATTATTGATCATCATGATCAATTGATTTGGACATTTATTTTGGAAAAAAAATGATGATGATGACATCAATAATAACAACAACAACAACAAAAATATGAAATTCAAAGAATTTTTTCCAAACATCCATAAAAGCTTATTCTTCTCCTTGTTGTTGTTGTTGTTGTTGTTGTTGTTGTTGTTTCTCTCTCTCCCCATCTCTCCCCAGAATTTGATGTGAATTTAATCAAACTAAAAGCATTCACGAATGAGAGAAGTGAAATGAAAAGAAAGTTAAATCTTATTGATTGACATTTTTTTTCTTCTATGTTCACTTGTTAAGAAGAAAAGCCATCAATATTAATGTTTATCATTTTTATGAAATGATGATTCTGTTGTTGTTGTTGTTGTTTTTTCAGATATTCAACAAAACGACAATGAAAATGATATACACAAAACAAACTCATTTAAATGATCAACATTTTTTTCTCTCCCTGTGTGTATCATCATGGTTAATGATTTTTTTTTCAATTGTAACAGGATGATGATGAAACATTATTTAAACACAAAAAACACTTAATGTTTTTTTGTTAAAATAGCCGGAATGAAAAAAATGTTTATCATCATCATTATTATGGCTAACTAAATGAAAGAGGTGATGTGTTGTGAATGATGTTTTTGTTTAAAAACATTTTAACCATTTTAACGCTTTTGTCCCCTTTTTTTCTTCCCTCACTTGAATCTTTTTTTTGTTGGTTAATGGAAACCCGTTTTATTTCGTTTTTTACGGAATCATCATCATCATCATCGTGTTGCTGTAAAAGTGATGTCTTAATTTTATAAATAGTATCTCTCTCTCTCGCCTATATGGAAATCAATCTTGTTTTTAAAATGTTGTTTGGTTGTTTGTTGGTTGATGATTCGTAACAAAACAACCATACATAATAACACGGGACACGTGTCCAAATATCAATTGATAATGATCATTATTTGACACGCGATCAACATACCACACACACACACACACACACACTTATTGATTCTTGATGTTTTTATTTAACGAAGATAAAAAAAGACAAACAAAACATTTTTTGAATTATTTCCTTTGGTTTGACCACAAATTTTTTCGTTTGTTTGTTTGGAATGTGATGTTCATGATCATTTCCTAATCTTTTTTTAGTTCTAGATCATTTATGTATGTTTGTTTAAAAAAAAAATGAATTTTTCTAAAAAAAATTGTAAAATTTTGTTGAATAAAAATCCTGATAAATTGAATTCAATTTATCAGGATTTTTATTCTGGAATTTTGATGATGATGGTAGTGGTCTTTAGTATTTTTCGTAGTAGTGGTGGTGGTGATGGTGGTTTCGCTAAAACATTAAATAAAAACTTAGCGGAAAAGCATAGTGGAGAAGAGAGAA